CCAGTGCCCAGGCCGGGCCGAGCCGAGCCGGGTCGGGCCCGGGCCATGCTGCTCACCGTGTACTGTGTGCGGAGGGACCTCTCCGAGGTGACCTTTTCCCTCCAGGTCGACGCCGACTTCGAGCTGCATAACTTCCGCGCGCTGTGCGAGCTGGAGTCCGGCATCCCCGCCGCCGAGAGCCAGGTACGCCAGGGGCAGCGAGCGGGGCCTCCAGCCGCTGCGGCCAGGGAGTTGGGGGGGGGGGACTGGGGCCGAGTCCTGCAGCCGCCCGGAGATGCACCCACTGCAGCGAGGGGGACACGTGCACGGGTGGGCACCCCTCCCCACCTTCTGGCCCTCCGGAGCCCTGGATCCTCATCATGTACCTCCTGCTTCTCCGACCAGAAATACCAGTTTGGATCACTGGGAGATAGACACTGGTCTGGGATTTGCTTATTTGTACCGAGTTCCTCCTTCAATATGCGCAGTTTACCTGGGAACACACATATCTGGAGTTGAAAGTGAGGGAAAAAGTTTGAGACTCGCTCTGCCTCTGCCTTTGACGTCGCTAGAAATGCATGCGTTTCTGCTTAATTTATTATTATTTTTTAAAGCGGTGGTTAGGTCAACTCAGTCTATTTGCTTCTTAGGCCAAAACCCTCCTCTTCTCTGGTCCCCGTTCAGTTGGGTCAGTTCAAAAAAGCTTAGTGCTTTCGAAGGATATCTGCTTGAAAATAACCTACTGCCTGAAGACCTCCGTGGGACTCGGTGGCAAGGCGTTCAGCCCCTCTTATGTTTTAACAAGAAAATATACTCGCAGTAGCCTTCGTCAAACAGAATAATAGGTGGACTGCTCTGTAGCCTTTGCACTAAAACTCTTAAGATTCTACCCAAAGTGAGCCTTGTTGGGCGTAGTTCAAACATTAGAAAATTGTAGAGGACTCCCAAGGCCTCAGAATGTAAATCTGGATTTCCTTCTGCAGTTATGAAATAGTTCCAGAAACTATTGCCCAACTACTGCTTGTTCTGCCCTGACTTATGGCAAACGTGTCAATATTTTGTTCAGAGATATGATTCCTTTGCACAATGTGAACTTTAGAACCTTGGCATACAACTTTTTCTGGAAGGATCTGTTTTAGGGAACAAGGTGTCACATATGCAGTCTGACAAAAGGTGGGGATTAAACGGTTCCCCCAATTTCTATAGAAAAATTAACCCACAAAAACCTAGGACCTCAGTTCCTGTTGGTCAGCCTCATACTCGTGGAAGTGGCAAACTAAGACCAAAGAGATTGGGTGGGGGGGGATATCAGCCTTTTAGAGAATTGATTGATTGATTGATTTTTGATGGGGATTTCAAGACAGGGTTTCTCTGTGTTGCCCTGGAAATTGCTCTGTAGACCAGGCTGGCCTTGAGCTCACACACTTCCACCTGCCTCTGCCTCCTGAGTGCTGGAATTAAAGATGTGCACCACCACCACCCAGCGATTGGTTGATTTTTGAGGCAGGGTCTCACTGTATGAATCATTGGCTCCCAATTAAACTCATACACATCCCTCTTGACTCTGTGTCCCAGGCCAGAGCTATCACAACCAGCTGTTTTGTTTTTTGAGACAAGGTCTCAATTAAGGGGCCAAGGCTGACCTCAGACAACACTCATCCTGCCCCAGGCTCCTGGACTGCTGGATCACACACAAGTGTGCACTACCATGCCCGGTCTAGCCTTTTCAGTTTTTGAAGGTTTTTTTTCCCCCCTCAATCGTTCTTTTATGTGGCTGTTTGATTACCCAAATTATAATTGCAAGCTGATTGGGAATAATTTTAAGTTGAATTTGTTAGTAGGACTTGAGAGTGAACAGAGGTTGACACTGTTTCTTTTTCCACAGCGAGCACATGCACTGTGTGTGTGTGAGAGAGAGAGAGAGAGAGAGAGAGAGAGAGAAGCATTCTACCCCTGGTTTATATGTGCATTCCCACTCCCAGCCTGTGGCACTCAGATGTCAGTATCAGATTGAAAGATAATTGTAGGGTTAAAGAGGGCACTGTCATCTGCCACTTGGGGACTTTAGGGGTACTTCTTGAACAATTGGGCTAGCAGTTCCAAATTCTTCCACTGCTTGCATCAACAATTGGTATTTACTTTCTTCCCAACACAAATTAGTGTGCTCCAACTAGTGTTAAGCCTGTATTAAGTAGCTGTAAACAGTGCCCTGTTTTTCAAGTTAGTGCTGTCGGCTCTATGTAACCTGACAACGTAGTGTCTATTTTAAGAGCGGATTTTTAAGCGCTCTGGGGGTCGCTTGTCTGGTTTGCTGGCAAGCCCCCTTAGGCAGGAACAGGATCCACCCCAGACATTGAAGTCACTTCCTTTCGTCGGATCTTAAACATTATCATTTTTTTGTTTGGTTTGGTTTTTGTTTTATTTTCCCCAGTCATTTTTAATTTGCGCTCCCCGACCAGTTTTTCTAACTTGTCCCTTCCTCTCAGATTTCTTTCCGGCTGTTTACTTCATTGGGCTTTAGTTTTTTTTTTTCCATCCCATTCCTTCACCTGTTTCTGACTCCACGCCACGGGTGTCCAAACATGTATGAACTTTACAGAGCTGCTTGGCTACCGAGTCACACTTGCACTGAGATAGAATGTGTTTCACTTTAATCACATGTACAGGTAGAGATGGTTTCTGTTCCGAATTTATTATCCTCATGTAATAGTTTGTATCTCCATAAGTAAAGTGGTTCAGATCATGCTCACAGTACCTTGTACATAAATTACAAAAGTGGCTGTTTTAGGTACTATACACGTATATATTCTCTTGTGGGGTACATAGCAGTTACAGCTAACAGTTATATATGTGCATATACTCTACATCAGTTACGTTGTGTACATATATACATTGAGTAATGTGCATTATAAACATGCAGAATAGAACTCAAGGATAAAATAAGGGGGGAGTGTTGACCCATGCCTTTAATGCCAGAACTTGGGAGGCAGAGGCAGGTGGATCTCTATGACTTCCAGGCTAATCTGCTCTACAGAGCGAGTTTCAAGACATCAAGGACTACACAGAGAAACCCTGTCTCAATCCCCCACCCCTCCAAAAGAATAAACAAGACTACATGGAAATGGGACTAAAGAGGCAGTTACCAACTAAGAGCACTTGCCCTTACAGAGGCTTGATTCCCAGCACCCACGTCCATCTGTAACTCCAGTTCCATGGGATCCAACACTCTCTTCTGACCTCTGGGCATTAGACAATACATGTAGGCAAAGTACACATACATAAGTCAAAATTAAAAAACAAAAAGTAAATAGAAATAAGAGTTCTCAGGCTTGGGCTGGAGAGATGGCTCAGAGGTTAAGAGCACTGACTCCTCTTCCAGAGGTCTTGAGTTCAATTTCCAGCAACCACATGGTGGGTCACAGCCATCTGTAATGAGGTCTGGTCCCTCTTCTGGTCAGCAATCATACAGACGGACAAACACTGTATACATAATAAATAAATCTTTTTTTTTTCTTTAAAGAGTTCTCAGGCTATACCTGTACTCTGGAGTTGTCTTGCGTGCCTGTCTCACCCAGGGAGCACTGTTTGGAGCTCCACCTTTCATCAGCATCATTTGTGCACGAGACACTGGGAAAAGTGTTCATTTCTAACAGCTCTGATCTCATTATAGTAGTTCTAATGCAGTGACAATAAATTTAGAATAGAAGCTGTCTCTACTTGTGCGTGATTAAAGCAGGACATGTTCTCCCGCGGTGCAAGTGTGGGCTTGGCAGCCAGGCAGGCTCAGGGTTATGCTTTGATGCAGACTTGACTGGGCTGACCTCAAACAATTATCAGAACTTACCTTCACGATAAATGTCTAGGTGGTTTTGAAACTAATTTACTTCTATAGGTGGTATGGAGTACAAGCCTGTACAGAATGGAAGGCCCCTCAATGAAAACCATGTTTAAGTGGCAGCTAGCAACAGTAACTGTGACCCTGGAAATGCCACTTTCATACAGCTTACGTGGTTTACAAAAATGCTATTTTAATCCATGGAAACTGAAAGTTTCTATTGTGGCTAGTCTTGGTGTTTTATTTCCTTAAGTAATTCATAGTCTCCCCGCGGGCCCCCTCCCTCTGCTTCTGGTAAATGCTGAATAGTCGTGATAGAAAGGTTGTAACACAGAAAAGAATAAAGAGCACAGCCACTCGCTTATTCCTCATAACCCATAACTCGTAACTGCAGTTTGGGTGTTAGTTTGTTTGGTTAGGTTTTTTTTTGTTTTGTTTTGTTTTTTTTGTTTGTTTTTTTGTTAATGTTATTTGAAACTCACAATTCAAGGCCAGCCTGGTCTTGATTGTGGGTTTCAGGCCAGCCAAGGCTACATGTTGAGAACCTGTCTCAAAAAAGCAATAGTTGTTGGGGTGCTGAGTGTGGTGGTTCACACCTTTAATCCTGGCACTTGTGAAGCAGGCAGACATGGGTGGATCTGTGAGTTCTAGGATAGCCTGGTCTACATAGGAAGTAGTGAGACCTTGTTTCAAATAAATAAATAAATAAATAGATAGATAGATAAAAAGGTCTACTGGATTGGGGATAGATGGCTCTGGTAGAGTGCTTGCCTACTGCACATTGCCAGCACTGTAGGAAAGAAAGAATAGAAGTGACATCCCACCCACTCCATTAATTGAAGGCTCCCTTTCAGAGACCAGAAAACATTTGGTGTCATGCTTAAAGGTTTTCGAGTTGTATTATTGAGCTTGTAGCTAGGTGTTAAGGTTGGAATCTCGTCTGAGAGTTGGATTTTAACACTCCCTGGTCTGCTGCATCAGGTCTGCAGATTTACACCTAAAAGTGTAGACTTCTGTTGTGCCCTCTCCTGACTGGCAGGGCAGGGCTCGGACTCAGGTTTTTCCATATTAGTTTCTGAAGTGGGGGACAGATGTGGTAGAGCGCTGTGCTCGTGCCATTACCAACTTGCCTTTGTTTGACTGATGGAGACTTGAAGTTGTTGATCCGGTCATACTCATGTGTCCTCTTGCCTCTGCCACTCAAGTGCTGGGATTACAGACTGTACCATCATGCCTGGCCTGTATAGGGTGATTTACTTAAGGACTTAACATGTAAAATAACCGCATTTCTTAGACTTTTTTGAGCTAGGGTTTCAATAGCTCAGGCTGCCCTTAGCCCCAGCCTTCCTTGTTTATCTTTGTAGGTCCTGGGATTTCATTCTTGTGGATATTTGCTCTCTACCCAGTGTGATGGCTAATTTTGTTGTTAGCACAACTGAATTAGGCTTCCTGGGGGATTAGTGAAGCACATCTCCAAATGTGTCTATGATGGCGTTTTTCAGAGACAGTTTCATCCTGGGGCTCTGACCTAACCTATGGATTAGCTAATGCTTTGATGAATCCGTAATATGATGGAATTATTGGGAGGTGGTAAAAGGTAGTGGGGTCTAGTTGGAAGCATGTTCTTAGGACGTATCTTCCTGTATCCTCTTCTGCTTTGAAACCAGGACCAAACAAACAGACGTCAATGCCCAAGTAACTAACCCACCCATTTTTGAGGAAATGGAATCAGAGATTCCATAACTTGTATGCATTGTACATGCCTGATGTCAGTGACTATTAGAGCTTGAGTCATAGCGCCATCCCTTTTCTTCTCTCTCTCACCCTCCCTCCCCCCTCTTTTAGATTGTTTTTGAGATAGGATTTCTCTAAATAACTTGGGCTGTCCTGTAATTCTGTGTAGAACAGGCTAACCTCAAACTCAGAAAGGTACAGAGATCTGCTTGTCTCTGCCTCCCCAGGCTGGGATTACCACCTCTTTTGGCTTCTGTTGCCATCCTTTTAAAAATTAGAAACTGGAGCTGGAGAGATGGCTCAGTGGTTAAGGTGCACTGGCTGCTCTTTGCAGAGGACTGGGTTCAGTTCTTAGCACCCACATGATGGCTCACAAATATTTATGATTCTAGTTTTACAGAATCAGACACTTCTGGCCTCTAGGCACCAGGCATGCAAGCAATAGACTTAGGCACATGAAAGTTAAACGCTCATACTCATAAAAAAATCAAAAAATAAAAAAATGAAAAAAAAGGCCAATTAATAAGACACTAGACATTGTAGTATTTTCCTGTCCTTTGTAGACATCTCCCAACCCCAGTATTACTTGATGTTTAGAATAAGGACAGTTATGTGTGTATCCCGTACCCCATACTCAGACTTGAACCCAGGGGCTTCACATAGCAGTCAGGCCTCGCCAGTAGAGGTTTAGATCCTTAGCAGGGAAGACTGGCTTAGAAGCCATTTCCCAAGGCTACGTTGGGGTGCTAGAAAAGAATTCTATTTTTTTTTTTTGAAACGCTTCACGAATTTGCGTGTCATCCTTGCGCAGGGGCCATGCTGATCTTCTTTGTATCGTTCCAGTTTTAGTATATGTGCTGCTGAAGCGAGCACAAGAATTCTATTTTTAATGTCAAGCACATAGAACGTCATGTCTCTTAATAGCTGTGTGGCCTCTGTGTCTTCTGATCCATAAAATTGGATGAATGATCCTTGTTAAAATGATTGTGACACTTGGTGAGACAGTGTGAGGGTTAAGAGGGAGAAGGGGAACTGGACTTGTTAGCCTAGGAGAGTTTCACTCAGTGGTAGCAGGGTGCTCTTTAAGTTTGGGTTTTGATATTATGCCCCACTGGAAGAGAATTCAGTAGTCTTACGCTGAGCTTTTCCATGCCAGGCATCCACTTTCCTACTGAACCAAGCCTTATCCTCTAAACTGTTCTCATCTTCCTGAGTTTGGTTCTTTATACATGAATACATTTTCTAGTAAGTGTGTCTTCCTGGGGAGACGAGTCGTGAGTCTTTAAATACATTACAGCTGACTCACTGAACCTGAGACGCTAGGGTAGGCAGCCATGGGCTATTGGTGACCTCATCACAGTGGCTTAGTTGTGTGATGCCACCTAGTACATCTCAACCTGTGACCCTGGTTTATGGTTGTTTTCCACTCACCCCACAAATTATGTGTGGTACAGTTCTCCATTGTATTACCAAAAAGAAAGAAGAATCAGTTTGAGATACACACTTAGATGAGTGTCATGATGAGGTGGCAGTAATGGTTGCAGTCATTTTTAGTAGTGTATAAAACTTGTAAAATTGGTTGGGCCGTGGTGGAACACACCTTCAATCCCAGCACTCAGGACGCAGAGGCAGAGACAGGCGGATCTCTGTGAGTTCGAGCCCATCCTGGTCTATAAGAGCTAGTTCCAGGCCAGGCTCCAAAGCTACAGAGAAACCCTGTCTTGAGAGACAAAACAAACAAACAAACAAACAAGCGTGTAAAATTTGACAGTCAAGTTCTGCTTTCTTGTTTCCAGAAGGATTCCATTTTGGAGGATTATTTTTTTTGCCCATATCACCATGAGATTAGGAGCAGAATGGCAGCATATGCTCAGAATGACCGGTGTGAATGATGTTTGTCTGTTCTGTGGACAGGCGCAGGAAGGCTGTGGTAGACAAATTGCCTAGTAGGTACAAGGCCCTGGGTTCAGCCCCCAGCATGGAAAAAGAACTGGAAGGAATATCTGCTATGATCAGTCCTGGTGGCCTGCTGGACATAAGACATTTAACTCCTGGCCCATCTAGTGACAGGCCCCTCGTAGAGTTCCTGGCAGAGTTAGTAACCAGCTCAAGTTGCTCAGTTTGTTTGTGGCCCAGAACAGAGCAAACACTTAGGGAGCAAAATGTGCCAAGTGTGCCACAGCGTGTCCCATGGAGTACATGAGAACATAGGGACCGTGTTTCCACCCTCACTCCTGTGTATTCCATTCTTCCCTCACAGTACACTCTGCTTCTGTGTTGGACCCATTGAAAGTATTTCTGTTAATAGGAGTTAGCTCAGCTAACTTACTAACTAACTAACTAACATGTTTTTCTTTCATGTTAGTTTTCTCTCATAAACATGAGAGCAATAAAACTTGGAGGACGGGGTAGAAGAAAGGCCTGCTAGTGTGCAGACTCACTGCTGACTGTACTCTGTGTTCCCGTCAGTTACTATAGTCACACAATTCTCTTTCATCCTGAATTTCTTTTTTGTTTTTTCTTATTTTGCTTTTTGTTTTCAAGATAGGGTTTCTCTGTATAATAGCCTTGGCTGTCCTGAAACTTGCTTTGTAGACCAGGCTGGCCTTGAACTCAGAGATCCACCTGCCTCTGCCTCCCAATCGCTGGGACTAAAGGTGTACACCACTGGTACTGGCTCTGAATTTTTTTTCTTTTCTGTTCTTTTCTTGTCTGTCTGTCTGTCTCCCTTTGTTTCTTTAATGATTTATTTTTATTTTATGTACATTGGTGTTTCACCTGCATGTATGTCTGTGTGTGAGTGTCAGATCTTGGAGTTACAGACAGTTGTAGAGCTGTCATGTGGGTGATGGGACTTGAACCCAGGTTCTCTAGAAGAGCAGTCAGTGCTCTTAACCATTGTACCATCTCTTTAGCCCCCTGAATTTCTTAGCCATCTCTTTCTCAGATTTTTAAACCATGTTTTGTTTTTTAAACTTTTTATTTACTTTTTTGAGAACTTGATCCTTGAGTACTATGCTTGCATCATTTCCACACACACCCCATTCATGGCTTGTTTTGTGATTATTGTTGATACATATATAATGGGTTTTAGTTTTGTGGTCTTTTTCGAGACACTATCTCACTGTAGCCCTGGCTGACCTGGTACTCGAGGTAGTTTTTTTGCCTTGGCTTCCTAGTGTTGGAATTACAGGCATGTGCTACCATGCCTAGATAGCTAAAAGTGTACATTATTTGCCTTGTAGCAGACATAGCCAGAATATGTCATCCCTACTTCCCTGGGCCGTCGTTATATACTAGGCTTTGTCCTAAGCTGATGGGCAGCTGAACAAGATCAATGTGTAGCATATTAGTGAGGAAAGTAGTTTATTTAAAAATATATTGTGTTGTTAGGGATAGAACCCAGGGCCTTGTGGGTGTGAGAGAAATGCTATGTCATTGAGCTCCACCCACAGCCTATGTCCGGGGTTCATTTTAAGTGTGGCTTTAGGGAAGAGTACTGAAATAATGTTTGATCAGAGACCTAAACCAAGTGACAGGAGGAAGAATGGTCCTCAGGTAGGGAAAGAAGCAAAGAGCTTGAGGGGAAGGTGGTGTGTGTCATTCGGACAGCAGTAGGATGAGGTCGGAAGTGGTCATTCGCCAAATCCTTTGGGCCTAGTCGGACACAGGCAGGACTTTAGGTTTCCTTCTAGGAATGATGGGAACGCATGGGAGGGTCTTGAGCAGGGAACATGATGAAGAAGTGGAAAGTGGTACCATGTTGCTTCTCTGCACTTTATACCACCGATCTTCCTTTGCAGATTGTCTATGCAGAAAGACCTCTCACTGACAACCACAGATCCCTGGCTTCTTATGGCTTGAAAGATGGCGATGTTGTGATTTTACGGCAGAAGGAGAATGCAGACCCTCGCCCTCCAGTGCAGTTCTCAAGTAAGACCAATGCTCATCACCTTCTAATTCAGTGTCACACTAAGGGGGTGTATGCTGCCTGCCTGCTGCAATAACCTTGGGCAGGTCATTGGGTTTCTAAATCAGTCATCTCTTTAGCAAGGTAGGTGTCATAATTAACCCAGCTTTACCTCATCAAGAGATGAGATGCGGGCTTAAGTGATGTCATCACAGTCACGTAGCTAGTAAGTAAAAAGTGATTGAAGTGGTGCTTTTTCTGTTGCTCCAAACCTGACAGATTTAAGTGGTTGGAATCAGGTTTGGATTAGTCTTGACGGTGCTATTAGTCTTGATGTTCCATTCAGAATGGGGAATTTTTTTCCCTTTGTAAATGTTTTTGTGGGTTTTTTGTTGTTTGTTTGTTTGTTTGCTTGCTTGCTTGTTATTGTTTTTCGAGTTAAGATTTTTCTGTGTAACAGCCCTGGCTCTCCTGGAACTCACTCTGTAGACCAGGCTGGCCTTGAACTTAAAGAGAGCCAACTGCTTCTGCCTCCCCAATGCTGAGAGTAAAGATTTGCACAGCCACAACCCTGCCATAAAGAATTTTTGGGGGGTGGGGGAAGGGTTGGTTTTTCAAGACAGGATTTCTCTGTAGCTTAAGAACCTGTCCTGGAACTCGCTGTGTAGAGCAGATCCACCTGTCTCTGCATCCCGAGTGCTGGGATTAAAGGCATGCACAACCACTGCCTGACTTTAATGATATATTTTTATATGTATGCATGGGTATTTTACCTCTTTGTATGTATGCTATTGCATGCAGTTCCTGTAGAGGCCAGAGGAGGATGTCAGATCTTCTGGAACTGGGTTTATTATTTTTAATTTAGTGTGCGTGTGTGTGTGGAGGGGTTATACACCTGAATACAGATGCCCACAGAGATTAGAGGCATTAGAGCCCCCAGAACTGTAATTTAGCTACCTTACATGTGTGCTTGGAGCCATCAAAAATCTCTTAACCTCTGAACTATGGCTCCAGACCCCGTGGCTTTTTGTTTTGTTTCAAACCCAGAACAGCCATGGAACTTTCTGTGTGACTCAGGCTGGCCTCCAGACTCCAGAGGGCTGAAATTACAGGCGTGCACCCACACATCCAGCCAGCTTGCTGTTCATCGTCTGGAGCCTGCATTTAGGTTTCTGTGTCTAAAATATGCAGGACTGTGTGGGAACGGGCACATATGTGCTCGATGCTGAGAGGGCCTGTAGCTTCCTTCAGCTGCTCTCATGACTCAGTTCCCAAGCCCTGATGTGGGCTATGTGATGAAATGTGACTTCTTTTCCCTGCTGCCTGCCATATTTTGGTGAAAAATTTCAGATGGTATTTAGCTTTCAGGTCTCCTGCCTTTAAAGGGTGTGGTACTAGATTGACAGGTGTGTTAGGTGTCAGCCGACTGCAGCGTGGAGCACAGTGCTTCATTCAGATTCCTAGACTGTCTTCAGGTACCTGCTGTACCAGTTCCGGATTTTAATCCGTCCCTTGGGCTCCTCCTGCGTTAGGAAGAATAGCAATTGGAGTTTGCTAGTCGGTAAAAACCAGATCTTCCCTTGGGTACTTTGTGAGGTGGTCCGTACTAGAGAGTCGCCAGAGTAGTTTTGTTTGTATGTGGACAGCATTGCAGTCAGGCTGCTGTGAGGCGAGGGGGGCGGATACGTGGAGATCTGGGTTATGAAGTGGACAAGTTTTTCGGAGTTGTGAAGGGAATGGACTGGCAAGTGGAGATAAGTTTCTCCAGCTGCAGAGGTGGCCCCACCCATGTGATTTGGTGGTTGGTAAGAACAGCAGTTCCCCAGGGAGTCTGCCATTCTCTAACCTTTCCATTGCTTAAATGTTTTCTCCCACATGACTCTCTTTTCAACACACACTGACTGACTGACAACTGGCCTCTGTTTTAAGAAAGTGACTAGTTGAACCCACATGTGAGGCTGAAACCTTATACGTGAGTTTAAGCTTTCCCTTTTTGTAGTTGATACACAAAGGGCTTCAGGACAGTTCAGACTCTGGACAAGACTGGTCATTAAATAAGTTTTAGGGTTGAACATAATGTGGACTTTTTTTTCAGGACCATTGTCTTCATTTTGGCTCTAGTTTGTTTTAGTTTGCCTCTTTTTTGGAGACAGGCTTGCCTCAAACTCCCAGTCCTCTGTCTCCACCTCTAGCTGGGTTACAGGCATAAGCTACCAGAGCTGTTGCCTTTCTTTTACTTAGCAGCTTTATTGAAATGAAGTCCACACAGCCATGATTCCCCCTTCAGAGCCACAGTTGGGTGGCTGTGATGACTCACAGAGCTGTGTGGCTGTAGTCCCTGTTGAGCTCATCCATCATCTGAATCCTAGTGATTCACGGCTTCCCTTACACACCAAAGTGTGCTTCCTAACCTTGTGTACTGCTCTGGTATTTCATGGCAACAGAGCCTGACATTGTGTGGACTCCTGTGTGAAGGTAAAGCTCTAGAACAGTCTAGAACCTGGGATGAAAAACTCCTTTATTTCTTCAGTCCTGTAAAACAATTATGCCCACTTACTCCCCAGAACCTTGTTTGTCTGGGATGCACAGATGAAATTGTAAATTCAAAGAGGTACAGAGAACCTCCTCAGACTTCCTCAGGCAGTGCTTAGATGTTCAGAATCTGACATGAAATGTTTGTGCTGTTCATTTGGTTCATACAGTTTTCTTTCTCCAAGTGTCCAGACTTTTCAACAGATCAGCATATCAGGGGCTAGAGAGATGGCTTTGAGGTCAAGAGCATTGGCTGCTCTTCCAGGGACCTAGGTTCAGTCCCAGTACCAACATGGCAGCTGACAACTGTCCGTAATTCTAATTCTAGGATCTAGAGTAAATATATGCACCACATGTGCCTGCACAGGACTGCAGAGGAGGACGTCAGAGCTCTTCAAATGGAGTTAGGCATGGTTGAGAGCTACCATGTTGGTGCTGGGAATTGAACTCAGGATCTCTGGAAGAACAGCCAGTGCTCTTAACCGCACTGAGGCATCTCTCCAGCCCTGGGTATCTATTAAGAACCTTATGTAGAGCCGTGAAGTGGTAGCACACATCTTTAAGCCCAGAACTCGAGAGGCAGAGGCAGGCAGATCTCTGTGAGTTCAATGCCAGTTTGGTCTGCAAAGTGAGTTCCAGGACAGGCTCCAGAGCTACACAGAGAAACCTTGTCTCAAAAAAACAAAAACAAACAAAACAAAAGAACCATATGTAGGGCCAGGCCAGTAAGATGCCTCAGAGGGTAAAGGCACTTCCTGTACAAGCCTGGCAACCTGAGTTTAACCCAAGAACCCACATTAAGGTGGCATAAGATAACTTATTGGGTGGTTTGAATATAAATGGCCCCTATAGGTTCAATATTTGAATGTTTATCCAGGGAGTAGAACTATTTGAAAGGATTAGAAGGATTAGGATTTGTGACCTTTTAAAGGAAGTGTGTTACTGGGGATAGGCTTTGAGGTTTCATAAAGCCCTGGCCAAGCCCAAAGTCTCTCCCTCAGCATATGGATCAGGATGTAGCTCTCAGCTACTGTTCTAACATCCCGCCATGCTCCCTGCCATGATGGTAATGGACTAAACCTCTCACACTATAAGCAAGTCTCCAATTAAATGTTCTCTTTTGTAAGAATTGGCATGGTCATGGTGTCTCTTTACAGTAATAGAACAGTGACTAAGACGGCGGGTGTGCACTGGGACATATGCCCACATCTTTAATTAATTAGTAATATTTATTTATTTATTTAGGGAGAGTATTTCTTTATATGGTCCTGGCTGTCTATCCTAGAATTCACTGTATAGATCAGGCTGGCCTCAGAGTCACAAAGATAAACCCTACCTCTGCTTCCTGAGTGTTGGGATTAAAAGCCCACACCACCATGCCTACAGTAAAATTGTTTTAGAAGAGCATATTTAGAATAGGCAGCTGCAGTTACTGAGACAGGCATAAGTTTGTATAGTTTACCTGGTTGAGACAGACTCGTATACCCAAGGTGGACAGAAATCTACTATGTATCTTGAATTTGTAGTCCTTTTGCTTCACCTCATGTGTGGTGCTGGGGAATGGGCCCAGGACTTTGGCATGTTGAACCTGATTCTGAAATTCTCTCTCTCTCCCTCTCCCTCTCTCTGTCTCTCTCTCTGTTTGTTTTGTTGGTTTTTGTTTTGTTTTGTTTAGATTTTTGATTTTTTGAGACAGTGTTTCTCTGTAGCTTTGGAGCCTGTCCTGGAACTCACTCTGTAGACCAGGCTGGCCTCTAACTCACAGAGATCCACTTATTTCTGCCTCCCAAGTGCTGGGATTAAAGATGTACACCACCATGCCTGCCTCTTTTTTAGTTTTTTAACCTTTTTTTTTTTTTAATAATGTGTGTGACTGTTTTGTCTGCACATATGTATGTGCACCATGTGTGTGCCTGACCTCATGGAGGTCAGAAGAGGATGTAGGCTGTTCCTAGGACCCAAGTTGCAGGTCATCTTGACCCACCATGTGGGTTCTGGAAACTGAACTGTGGTCTTCTACAAGAGTAACCAGTACCCTAACCTCTGAGTGCTCTCTCCAGTGAGCCCTTCCCCTCTCATATTTTTCCCTATTAATTTACTCTTATAGCACCTTCTTGGAGGAAGGGCAAGGGGAAAGACATAGAGCGTTAACAGTTACCACTTGCTGATGTTGTCAATGACGAATACCTCTTTTGTTGTTTCCTTCAACACTTGTTTTTATGGCACGCATCATTTGGGTAAACTTGACTGATTGCTCTCAACAGACTTGCCCCGGATTGACTTCAGTAGTATAGCTGTGCCTGGCACATCAAACCCCCAACAGCGCCAGCTGCCCAGAGCGCAGGCTCAGCACTCATCTCCTGGGGAGACAGCATCGTCACCTCAAGGCTTAGACAACCCAGCCCTGCTCCGAGACATGCTGCTGGCCAACCCGCACGAGCTGTCCTTACTGAAGGAGCGTAACCCACCCCTGGCAGAAGCTCTACTCAGTGGAGATCTTGGTAAGCGCCCTTGTGTGTCAGTAGTTGTGCCAGAACAAATGTGTAAGGAGACTGTTTGAATCCATTGGCTGTCTGCTGTGAGTCTTGAGCAGGCCACTTGTTGATGAGAGGTGATTAATGTTTGTATTTAATTGAAATCATCTTGAGCCTTAGGGCAGTCTCTCTCTTTTTTTAAAAAAAATTATTTATTATATATACAGTGTTCTGCCTGCATGTATGCCTGCAGGCCAGAAGAGAGCACCAGATCTCATTGCAGATGGTTGTGAGCCACCATGTGGTTGCTGGGAGTTGAAACCAGTACCCTTAGGAAGAGCAAGTAGTGAGTGCTCTTAACCACAAAGCCATATCTCCAGTCCCCTAGGGTGGTCTCTTTATCCACCTGGGCCTCTGCCTCCATGGTGTTGTGATTAAAGATGTGTGCTACTGTGCTCAGCTTCATCTTTTTTTGTTTGTTTTCCAAGACAGGGTTTCTCTGTGTAGCTAGCTTTGGAGCCTGTCCTCGAACTCACTCTGACCAGGCTGGCCTTGAACTCAGAGATCCACCTGCCTCTGCCTCCCCCAAGGGCCAGCCTGATCTACAGAGTGAGTTCCAGGGCTATACAAAAAAGACTATGTCTTGGGGCTGGAGAGTTGGCTCAGAGGTTAAGAGTACTGCCTGCTCTTCCAAAGGTCCTGAGTTCAATTCCCAGCAACCACATGGTGGCTCACAACCATCTGTAATGAGATCTTGTGCCCCCTTCTAGCCTGCAGGCAGACATGCAGGCAGAGTACTGAATACTGTATGCATAATAAATAAATAAATCTTTTTTTTTTTTTTTTTAAAAAAAGACTGTCTTGGGGAAAAAGATGTTTTGTTTTTTTAAATTATATTTGTGTGGCCACAGCTGGCATATGGATGTCAAGGACAGCCTTGGTTGTCAGTCCTCACCTTCCACCTTGTTTTTGAGAGCAGGGTCTCTGCTGTTTGTCACTGCATGGTATACAATAAGCCAGTTGGTCTGTGAGCTTCTGGGGGATTTCTTCACCACAGAAGCCCTGGCATGTGGATTGTACGGCTGCACCAGCTTTTATGTTGGTTCTGGGGGGTCTGAACTCAGGTTTCATCTTGAATAGGTGTCACAGCACACGCCACAGCCATAGTAGAGGGCAGTTCTCAAGAGTTGGTTCTCCTGGGGGAGACAGGGATTAAATTCAGATAACCAGACTGGCCCACAAACTTCTGCCACACCTGGCTTGTTTTTAGTCATTTTAAAGTGGGATTGCATATGTAGACTTGGGGGAAAGCTCAGATATCATCCTTAAGAATATGATCCACCTTCTGTGCAGCAGGGTCTCTCCTTGGCTTTTTAGCAGGTGGGCCAGGGCCTCAGGAAGCCTCTTGTCTCTGCTCGGGCACTGGGACTCAAGTGCACACCATCACTTCCTGCAGTTTTGTGTGGGTTCTGGGTCCTCATGTTTACAAGTTGAGCACATTACCCACTGAAGCCATTTTCAGCTAGAAAGGTCCACTGTGTCCCTTCTATTCACTTTCCTCTTGAATAGGCTGGTACTGTTCTGATATGTGATTTGTTTTGTCTGTTTTCAAACTTAATGTATTTGGAATTGTAGAGTACACTCTTTGGGGTTTTCTTTTTCTTTATTATTGGTTTTTCAGGATAGGGTTTCTCTGTGTAGTTCTGGCTGTCCTGAAACTTGTTCTGCAGACCAGGGTGACTTTGAACTCACAGAGATAGCATGCTTTCTAAGTGCAGGTATTAAAAGCTTGTACCAACACTGCTAAAATGAAATAAAAACTTTTTTTAAATAAAAAGTAGCTGGGTAATGGTGCTGCACACCTTTTCCCAGCCTTGGGGAGGTCGAGGCAGGCAGATCTCTGAGTTTAAGGTTGGTCTGGTCTATGGAGTGAGTTCCGGGACAGCCAGGACTACACAGAGAAACCCTGTCTTGTGAAAACCAGAAGAAAGAAAGAAAATGTAGAGTTGAACATGTCCCTCCCTTATTTTTGTAGAGAAATTTTCTAGAGTCCTGATAGAGCAGCAGCAGGACCGAGCTCGGAGAGAACAAGAAAGGATTCGTCTGTTTTCTGCTGACCCCTTTGATCTTGAAGCTCAGGCAAAGATAGAAGAAGATATAAGGTAAGATTCATCTACCTAGTGAGCAAGCTCACAGCATCCAGGTCTTCAGGCATTAACTAGACACCTGCTTGCAGACGACTTCCCCATCTCCAGGTTGAGATAATAACCTCAGTCTGTCTAGGTAACTCTCTCCTTCATAGTCCTCACGTTTTGATCCAGTGTTTGGAAGTGCTCTCAAATTTTGTGAGCACTTCCTGATTAGCAGACAAAACAGCATCATTAAAGCAAGGTAGTTGACCCAAGGATGACTGAGGAGAAACCCCATCTGCTGAGATCAGTAGACTTTCTCTGAAGGCTGATTTCAATCCTGATTAAGTCAGATCTTTAAGGCGGTTGGATTAGAGAACTGTGCATAAGTGGAGTCTTGCAGTCTTCTGTCTTCTTTCCACTGCCCCTTGCTGGCTCCCTGCCTGACACTCTGCCAACCCCGAGTCTGTTGCAGCGGCTCTCTGCTGGGGCTGTATTAAAGCATGCAGTAAGGTTTTCAGATTGTAGATGCTTGAGTCTTCTCTCTATTCTGATGAGTCAGGATCTTCAGGAGTGACGCTCTGACAGGTACAGAGATGCTAAAGGCTAGTCACAAGCTAGATGCTGTCTGAATAAAATGACCATCTGCTCCCCAAACCCAATTCAATTTTTGTTGCCAATGGTGAAAATTCTCCTGTAACTAAGAGGAACAAATCTAATGATACTCCCATTACACTGAATAGCAGGGGAGCTGTAGTTGCCCAACTTGCTTGCTTTATTATACCCATAGGCTCTCCCCACCCTTTGCCTACACTGGACCCTCACATATTCGTACTCAATAGACTAGTCCTTTATTACCAGGCTGTATCTAGGACACTCTGACTATTCTCGAAATTGAAGAAATAAATCATACTTAGAACTTATTGACAGCCCTAAGCTATTTGCTCATGTTCTGTTTGTTAAGTGTTCTCTTTACATGTATCAGATAATGGCGAATTTCCCCCTCTCTTACGCAGTTAAACAAGTGTTCTGCCACTGGGTCACATTCCTCATCTCTGCTTTTATTTTTTATTTCTCTGCTTGTCAACAATCTCACTAAGTTGACAAGCTAGCCTTAAATTTAACGTCCTGCCTCAGCTTCTCCACCAGCTGGAAGGCCTGTGCAGCTGTACTTCAATCAGATATTAGTGAGTGTCCATGGACATAGCTTGACTAGCTGAGTCAGCCCAGAGAAATAAACCATTTATATTCTCAGATTGAGACTCTAAGGGAGTCTGACATTGATTTCAGGCGTAGTTGCATTTATCCTAGGTAGTGGAGGTGGGAAGGCGCCGTAGACAAACCCTGGAAATGGAGTGTATCGAATTGAAACAGATTGTTTCCCATAGGGGTGGGGTAAAGGAAACTGGGTGATGTAGGGAAAGGAGATTACCAGATTACTCAGAGTGCCCAAGCTGGCCTGTCACTTCTGTGCATCTGGGGCTGCCCTGAAACTCTTTGTGTTTGGTTGACTTGGTTGACTGGTTCGTTGAATTGTGTTGTCTTGAGCTAGCCTTGAGCTCAGGTCTACCTGCTTTTGTGTGTTCTACCACATGTTGTGAATACTTTAATTTTATTGGTGTGTGTCTGCACGTACACATATATGAGCCACAGAAGTGTAATGAGTCTGTTGGATAATTTGGAGCTAGAAGTAAAGGCAGGTGTGAACTGTTTGACATGGGTGCTGATAACCAAACTTGGGTCCTTTGGAAAAACAGTAAGCTTTCTTACTACCAAGTCATCTCTCCAGCCCAAGAAATGTGGTCAAAGCTGCCTAGAGTTTAAGCATTTTTATTATTTATCAGTATGGATGTCCATGCGGTGATACATGTGTGTCAATCAGAAGATAGAGTGCGGGAATTATATCTGGTTTTCTCCTTCCACCATGTGTCATAGAGATCAAACTTAAATTGTCAGATTGGTGACAAGACAACCCCACATTCAGAGGAGACTTTGCACTTCTGAAGCTCTTCGGTTGTGACCTTCAGAGCCGCAGCAGATTGGTTGTATTATTTCAAAGGATTAATTTTTCTGAGATTTTTTTGGGCTTTTCCTCAGCAGCACTCACTTCATTCATTCATTCATTCATTCACTCACTCATTTATTTATTTGAAGCGACTTTTCTTGCTGAACCTGGAGCTCACAGGTTTAGGTAGGTTTACTGGCTGGCCAGTGAGCTCCAGGGACCCTCGTGTATACCTCCCCACCACTGTAATTAGATACTGCCAGGTCCCCTTGTGTTTGAATAGTAAACATATTGCAACTGAGCCATCTCCCTAGCCCCACATACTCTTTTTCTTTTTCTCTCCTGAAACGTAACTTGGATTAGAACAACATCAGGGGTTATATAATTATTTGTATGTAATTTCTAAATTTATAATGTGCCATTACATAAAGGTATTTAATTTTATCAAATATGTTTTAAAATTTCTGCTTGTCACATGCCAGCATTATACATGGGCATGTGTACACCAAGGTGTAGTAAGTAGCTTCCCTGTTTGCCAGACTAAATTAAACAAGGATGCCTGGGCTTGCTAAGAAGTGTTACCATCAGTTCAGTGAACCAGGGTGTTAAGGAAAGCGCAGGCAATGGCGTTCAGAGCATGGGTCTGCAGACTTTCTGTAAAGCTAGGTAGTTAGCTGTTTTAGGTTTTGTAGACCATGTGATCTATTTCAGTTCTGTGCCTGCCATGTAAATCAGCAGTAACATTGGACAGCATGTTAGTTACTTATCTACTTGCTGTGACAAGAAACTTAAGGCAAGGAGAGTTTATTAATTATTTATTCTGTTTAAGGCCCTAGTCCATGATGGCAGGGAAGGCATGGTGACAGGAACATGTCTCCTTTTTATTCAGTTTTGGACCCCAGCCTGTGAAATGGTGATGCCCACATTCAGAGTTTCCTCAGTTAACCCTTTTTAACCCTTTTCAGAAGCACCCTCCGTGACAAATCTAGACTGGCATTTCTGTGCAGATTTTAAATCCAGTGTAGCTGATAACTGGATTTAACATCAGATGGTATGTAGACAGTGCCTCTGTGTTCTTATGACATGTGCACATGTATTGGAATGTGGTCTTAGCCGTCCTTAGTTCACAGTGAACTTTACCTCAAATTATAGACCGAGTTCACTATTTCCAGCCTAAAGGTATACGGTCTAGCCAGTCAGTATGTGTATCTCAGGCTGGTCTTAAATGTAGCCAAGGGTGACCATAAAGTTCTGATCCTCCTGCCTTTAGTTCTCAGATGCTGGAGGTACAGGTGTGCACCACCACACCTGGAGTATATGATTCTGGGGCCCCTGCTTTCGTGCATACTGTGAAGGACTCATCCAACTAAGCTACATCTCCAGATAGATGCAACATTTGAAGCTCTGCTCTTGACTTACTTAGCACCATAAGCTAAATTCTGTAAGGCTGTTCATCAGCGTTGTAATGGGAAGGAATTGTGGGTTTTTTCATTTTTCAGATTAGAAAAGCCAGTTGTGGAGATGAAGCAGCCTACACAGCACAGACAGGTGGAATACCTGTGATTCTGGTCGCAGACTAGTAAGGCTGATGTACTGGGGTGATACTCAAATGCCCAGGACATCCTCGGTTAAAACAGCATGGGGTTGGAGAGATGCTCGGAGACCAAGAGCACTGGATGCTCTTCCAGACTTCCTGAGTTCAATTCCCAGCAACCATATGGTGGCTTGCAGTCATCTATAATGAGATCTGGTGCCCTCTTTTGGCAAGCATACACGCAGGCAGAATGCTGTATTCATAATAAATAAACTTTTTTTTTTTTTTTTAAGGAGCATAGGACTGGCATAGCAACACATTCCTTTATTACCAGTATTTGGAAGGCAGGGCAGCGGCCAGGGCTACACAGAGAAACCATGTTTCAAAAAGATCCAAATCTAAATAACAAAAAACTAAAAATATAGGAACATGGTGCTCACATTATAATTCCAACACTAGAGAGGCTGAGATGAGAGGGTCACAAGTTCAAGTCCAACCTGTGCTATGCAGTAAAAACCTGTCATAAGTATTACTAATGAAATTTCAATGTTTGGTAAGATCAAAAGGGCCTGGGGCCTTGCTTTCTATGAGTTTTTCCATCTGTGAGCTTTTAGGGGGACATGATCATTTTAGAGGAGGATGGTTTTTATGCCTGTCTTAGGTCTTCTGCCAGCTCTGTCTCTCATCACCTCCTGTTGAGTCACCTGTGGGGAACACAGAACCAATTTCCATTCAGTGACTCAGCTGCTCCAGTTAGGGCAAAACCGTTTACAAATGTGTTTGTGGTGTTCTTTCCGGAAACGGAGTTTTCAGTGTGCTTCTCTGACTTGCCGCAGGCAGCAGAACATCGAGGAGAACATGACGATAGCTATGGAGGAGGCCCCGGAGAGCTTCGGCCAGGTCGCCATGCTCTACATCAACTGCAGAGTGAACGGGCATCCTGTGAAAGCCTTTGTTGACTCAGGTGGGGATGGAGCGGAGGCACTGGTCCTGTGCTCTGCTTGCTGGTGCCTAGAAGTTACATTTTCACTTTTCAGTCTTTGTGTTAGTGATAGATTTCTTTTCCCAGTCGTTTCTTACCTGATTTTGTGTTTGCCGTGCCTCAACTGGTAGTAAGGGCCCAGGGGGTGTTTCTAGGTTCTTGTCCACTTAACCAGAGAACTGAAAAATAGAGGCTAGCACAGGGAGACATAGTTGCGATTGACCGGGGGCAGAGAGGGATCAGCAGTTAAGTTAGTGCTGCTCTTGGAGAAGATGTGGGTTCAGTTTCCAGCACCCAGATCACATAGTTCACAAACACCCATAACTCCACCCCTCTTCTGGCTTCCTGGCCACCTGTACTCACTTTGAACCCCCTCACACACATGTACATGTAATTAAAATAGAATAAAATCTTAAAAAGAAGAAGGTTGGCAGGTTAACCTTGGGCCAAATGGGTAACAGTCAGTATTTAGGGCCCCAGTTATTTGGAACTGCTTTTTGTGGGACTCAAAAAAAGGAAGGGTTGGTTACTAAGGAGGTGGTTTGAGTAGTTCTCTGTTTTGATTGATAAATTAGGTCATATGTTCATTTTTCTTACTGTATCAGATTTTAGTTATATGTGCACTCAGTTATACCTAGACACAAGACTGTAAATAAGGGATTCCCCCTAAAAGGTCACGAGGTGGCGCTCGTTTCCCTTATTGTGCACCCCAAACTGCATGCATTGGCTGAGTGCTTAGTGGTAAGGCTTCCTGTCAGGAGCTGCAGGACATATGAGAGAGAGAAATGTGTAGCTCCCCAGTGCACATTAAATGCTTCCTGTACACCAGGCTCTGCGCTTGATGCTTAGTACATCTTACTGCGTCCATCATATTTCAGCCTCAGACATCTCTATGAGCCATGGTGTGTCCCTGCTTTACAGATAAGGAAGCCAAGTCTCTGTCCCAAGTAGAGAGTTGGTGAATTCAGCCTCAGCTTGATGCCAGAGACTCCTTCGTCACTGAGCTAAAGCAGATGCACATTGGGTGGGTGTGCTGGATGTAGAGACCAGTTTCCCTAACTGGAGTACATGGGTGAGTCTCTCGGAGTGACCGTTAAACTGCTGCACAAGTAGGAACTGGGGTTATGAACTAAGTCAGCTTCTCCCACATTAGTTTGTGGAGACGAGGACAGAATTCCTTCCAGACTTCCTAGACTCTTTCTGGGCCTTTTGAATCTTAGTTTCCTCATAGATATTTTGATTTTTGTTTTTTTGTGTGGTCAGAGTGGAATCCAGGGCCTTGCCTGCTAAGCAAACATGACCACCACTGTGTAATATCCTAGTTACCATTGTCACCTTTCTCATGCCCACGATCTGCTAGTACCCACAAAGAATGGGTGCTTTTAATGCCCACCGATGCACACACAGTGAATTGAGACAACAGGATTGGTTGGTGAGTCTGCAGCCAGGCATAAGCAAAGGTAAGACTCATATAAATGAGAACAGGGAAAGGATCCTTTGTGTGTGTGTGTGTGTGTGTGTGTTTTAAACTTTTTTTTTAAAAAATATTTGTTTATTAAGTAAACAATGTTCTTTCTGTGTGTATGCCCGCAGGCCAGAAGAGGGCACCAGATCCCCTTACAGATGGTTGTGAGCCACCATGTGGTTGCTGGGAATTGAACTCAGGACCTTGGGAAGAGCAGGCAATGCTCTTAACCTCTGAGCCATCTCTCCAGCCCCGTGTTTTAAACTTTTAATGATATAAACAAAAATATACCTAAAAGTGAAGCTTCTGGAAAAACCATTTGTTCTTCCCTATCTTGTATCATTCCTCAAATTTGACCTTATCTTGCGTTTCAGGGCTGGGTCCCTAAAGACATCCTTGTTGAGGAAAGGATCCTTTATAGGAGGCCAGAGTAAACAGGAGACACATTGCTCCCACTTTGAAATGCTTCTAGGTGTAGTGAGAGTGGAGCTGGGGTACTGGGAGAGAGGGCCTGGGTTAGATCCAGCAATCTATAAATTGAGCATGGTGGCACAGACCTTAATCCCACCATTTGGGAGGTAGAGGCAGGAGAATTAGAAATCTAAGGCCATCAACAGCTCTATAATGAGTTTGAAGCTGGGTTTATGAGGGTTATGTTTTATCTCTCTGAAACAGGAGGTAGGAGAATGTAAGGCTATAGATCAACAGGATGCAGTGGGCCTGACTCTGGGCATTGTGACTTACACAGTCTTATAAAAAGTGGGAACCTTAGCTGGGCACACACCTGTAATTCCAGCACTCAGGAGGCAGAGGCATGTGGATCTCTGAGTTCAAGGCCAGCCTGGTCTACAGAGTGAGTTCCAGGACAGCTAGGGCTGTTACACAGAGAAACCTTGTATCAAAAAATTAAAAAGGTGGGACCTTTAAGGGTTATTGAATAAGTAAAGAAATGACTTTAAGGAGGTTATAGTTTGGGATGAGTACAAGCAGAATCAACTGGAAAAATTCTTTAACTTCGAGGGTCATATTTGCTTTAAATTATGTATGCATGGCACAGGTTCAAAGCCAGAGAAGAATCTACTCAGGAGGGAGGTGGCTGCGAGCCAGACTAGTAGCTATGGTAGGAAGGAAGGAGGTCAGAAAAGCAGGCATTTCAGAGACCTTATTTGTGGGGTCAGGACAGTTGTAAGGGCACAGTGAAGGCAGCAGGAGTCAACATTATAGTATGCCATAGCTGTAAGAAGGTGAGAAGGCCATGTCACTGGCAACGATAGAGAAATTCAAAGTGAGGTTTGGGATGAGCTAGAGATTTCCAGTACACAGGTGTATGAAGCCAGGATTCAAGGGAGGGGCTAGGGCTAGACAAAGATTATAGAAGTGTCTGTCTGAGATAGAAAATACCCTGAGGTCAGGCTAGGGATGTGCCCTAGGTGATGACATGCTGCTTGTGTAGCTTACTCAGAGCCCTCAGTGTGGTACCCAGCACTGCATCATAGAACATGTTTGTTACATAGAGTTACATAGAACATGTAATCCTAGAAATCTTCCTGCTTCTGACTCCTGAGTGCTGGGATTAAAAGTATGTGCTGGTGGGGCTGGAAAGATGGCTCAGTGGTTAAGAGCAAGTCAAGACTGTTCTTTCAGAGGGTCCAGGTTCAATTCTCAGCACCTCACATGGCATGCTCACACCTGTCTATAACTCTAGTTCTAGGGGAACCAACACCCATGACAACACCAATGCACATAAAATTTAAGAAAGAAAAAAGTATATGCCACTGTGTCCAACTTTTCTAAAGTGGCTCTGGGATCAAACCATGCTAGGCAGGCACTCTCCCACTGGGCTGTACTCCTAGCTGCAGGCTCTATTAGCTCATGAGCCATAGTGTCCCACTGCTTTAAATAAAAATCACTTGAGTCTGTGTGCTGAAGTACACACTTGTAATCCCAGAAGGCTGAATCAGGAGGATTACATATTCAAGACTAATTTTGGACTACATAGGAAGTGAGACCCTAACTCAAAAACAAAACAAAACAAAAGCAAACAACAACACAAAATGATGACATGTTCTAAGTGTAAAGTGCTGCTTAACTTAACACTGCTGTCTATGGACAGCAGCATTTGAAGTTTAGGTCGCTTCCAGACGCGCTTGTTTTCTGCAGGTAAAGTTTTTAGTGTCATTCTGGTACTCCATTAAAAACACACTCCTGCTGGGTGGAGGCGGCACAAGCCTTTAATCCCAGAACTCAGGAGAACAGAGACAGGCAAATCTCTGAGTTTGAGGCCAGCGTGATCTACAGAACGAGTTCCAGGACAGGCTCCAAAGCCACAGAGAAACCCTGTCTTGAAAAATTGCAAACAAAAAAAACAAAACAAAACAAAAAAAAAACCCAACAAAAAACTCTTGGGTTTCTGTACTGGTTTAGATTCTGGTACGGAAATTGAATTAAGCAGGGGTGTCGGTGCACATCTGCAATCCTAGATCGTGGAGGTTGAGGCAGGAGGAACATCAAGAGTTTTCAAGAATAAATAAAAGAGCGGCTAGGCAGGGAGGTGTGTGTTATAATTTCTACAGTTTGATATCTCTCTCCCTCCAGGTGCCCAGATGACTATTATGAGCCAGGCTTGTGCAGAAAGGTGTAACATCATGAGACTGGTGGACCGTCGTTGGGCTGGCATAGCCAAAGGCGTAGGCACACAGAAGATTATTGGAAGGGTGCATCTAGGTGAGTGAAGGCAGGCAGACGCTTGCTGCTTTCTGGTAGGGAATTTTTAGGGTGGTTGAGTTTTAAGGTTCTTTCATAATCACCTCTGGTTGATGTGACCATAAACATGCAAATAAGCAGGTGTAGCTCAAATTCTGATTGGTCTTAATAATAAAAACCCAGAGTCAGGTATTGGGGGTAAAAGCTGAAAGATCAGAGATGCAGAGCAGCCAGCCACTAGTTCTTACTGCTGTGAAATCCTCAGATAGAGTGGGGTATTCTGATTCTACAAGTCCTCAGACTAAATGCCTGAATGAATTGAACTCTTATCTCCTCCCACCTTATATTCCTCTCTCTGCCCAGCCATATCCCTTCCTGTTTCCACCTCCCTCGCTCTGGGATTAAAGGTGTGAGGCGACACCGCCTGGCTCTTTCTCTTTTAGACTGGATGAACCCTGTACAACCCAAGGTGACCTTGAACTCACAGAGTCTCCCAAATGCTAGGATTCAAGGTGTGCTATCACTGCCTGGCCTCTGTGACTAATTAGTGGGTAGTTCTGCATTCTGATCTTCAGACAAGCTTTATTTGTTAGATCACAAACAAAATATCACCACAAGTGGGTGTGTTTCTGTAGATACACCTGCTCCTGTGCAGGTCAGAGGTCAACTTTGGGAGACTTCCACTCTTCCATGGTCCCTGGACTTGAATTCAGGTTGTCAGGCTTCTGTGGCTAACAGTTTACTTGCTGAAACATCTTGCTGACCCTAGAGTGTGTGTTCTTCCCTCTAGTCAGAAGTCATTTCCCTAGAATCATGATCAGTGTTGCTGTGGGAATGTTGAATGCCCTTGGGAAGTATGGTCCCTTTCTTCTTTTAGTCCCCCTTAGGGTATTTTCATATACTTGAGTGTCTTCCTTTCCTTTCTTGTACTTGTGTGTTACTGGCTTTTTAAGTCTGGGGATGCATGCTTCAGTTCCATGATGGAGCCCAGTGCACATGATAAGCACACCCCACAGCCAAGCTGTCCTCTGTCCTGCCCCTTGATGTGTTCTGATGGTGATCTCTCTTCCTGTTGCTCAGTCAGTGGTCTCCTGTGCCAGACTCATCCTCCATATTCTTAGTGTTTTGTTTTTTATTTTTATTTTGTGTGTGTATATAGAAGTGAGAGGGGGCAAAATATTAATGGATCCTAGAATGGTCATTCTGTCAGTTAAATCTTTCTAGAGAAACACTGTAGCAAATGTATCTAGAGGTATGTTTCCATAGATAGTCTAGATCCTATCAAGTTGGCTATCAAGATTAACTTCATAGGCCCTTTATTTCATGAACTGTCAAGACATCATAGCAAGGGTTTCCAGCACACAGACTGCACATGTGGAAGGGTAGTTAGGAATGGAATATTTAAGATGTGTGTGTGTGGGGGGGGGGTTCTTGCTGCTTTTGTTTGTTGTAACTCAGTTTTGTGGGTTTTGTTTTTTAAAGATTTATTTGTTATATTTTATGTATAAGTGGTTTTGTCTTCTGTGTCTCTCTGGTGCCCTTGGAGTTTAGAAGAGGATATCAGCTCCTCTGGAGTCTTAGAGATGGGTGTGAGCCTCCATGTGAGTGCTAAGAACCTAAGTTGGGTCCTCTGCAAGAACAGCAAATGTTTAACCTCTGAGCCATCTCTCCAGCCCCAATTGTGTGCTTCTGGGTCATGGATTTTATAGTAGTAGTGTCAAAAACTGGACCCTATGCAGGTCTCAATTAGTTTCTCGTTTTGGCTATCATCACCAAGGGGTTATCTGCACTCTAGATGTCTGTGGGAATCTTAGAGCAAGAGAGAAGGTGAAGGTGTTCTGGGATAGCTGCATGTCCGTGTAGAGAGAGGAACCAGACCAGCTTCACAATGCCCATATATAATTGTCCAGGTGGATTACAGCTCAAGTATGGGTTAGAAAATGCTTGAGTTGGCAAAATGCTTGCTACACAAGTGTGAGACCCTGGATCTCAGCCTGTAAAAGCAAGGTGTGATGGCACCTGTCTGCAGCCTCAATACTGGGAACACAAACCAGCTAATCTGGGTACTGGTAAGCCATCCAACCCTGTCAAAATGGGTGAGACTCTATTTCACAAACTACAGTGGAGAGCAATTGTAGTGATAATTTTATTTATGTTTTAATAGATAAAGCTTGCCTAGATGGGCAAAACTAAGTCACTAGGAGTCAGGCAGTGGTGGCACCTTCCTTTAATCCCAGGATTTGGGAGACAGAGACAGATGGTTCTCTGTGCGTTCAAGGCCACTCTGAGCTACACAAGATCCATGCAGAAACAGGTCCAGGTGGTGGTGCCTCACACCTTTAATCCCAGTCCTAGGGAGTCATACACCTTTAATCCCAGCACTAGAGGGAGTATAAAATGGGAGGAGAGAGAGGCTTAGTCTGAGGTTGCTTAGCATTGGTAGAGGTAAGACTTCTCTAGTGGCTTAGCTGCCTTGCTTTTCTGGTTTTCAGGTTGAACCCCAATATCTGTCTTTGGGTTTTTATTATTCATGCTACAGGCAATAGAGGAAAAGGCACTTAGCATCAAACTGCAGTCTCCACATGTTCACACCTGAACCTGAGTACACCACATGTGCTTAGAGATTGTGGTGTCGCATACACTTGTAAGCTAAGCATTTGGCAGGTGGAGGCTGGACTACATGACACTCGTAAAACTGAATATGAAGAAGATAATAAAGAAAACAAGGGAAAAGAGACAGTCTCTCTATAGCCCTGACTAACCCTGGAATTCATTATGTAAGCCAGGCTGGCTTTGAGCTCACACATCTGCCTGCCTCTGCCTCTGGATTATTAAAAGTAAACTCTATGCTGAGCAAGATTAAAAAGTTTGTCATGAGAGCTGGGCGTGGTGGCACATGCCTTTAATCTAATCTCAGCACCCAGAAAGCAGAGGCAAGCAGATCCCTGAGTTCCAGGACATCCAGGGCCACACAGAGAAACCCTGGCGAGGGGGTTCCTTGAGCACATGTGGTATTGTACATCTATAGTTCTAGTACTTGAAAAGATAAATAATACTTTAATAAAATAGACACAGTGTTGGCTATAATAATATAAGATAGAAATATGTATAATACTATCTAAAGATTGAGGAAAAGCTAAAAATGATTAACACAGATCTAAGATAGTTGGGAGATTTGGAGGAGACAGATAAGAGGAATATAGGAAACATATCACTTTGGTTCTCTTTCTTTTTAAGATTTGTTTTTATTTATGTGCATATGTCTAGGTGAGTGTGTGTCCCATTTATGTGCACAGGCTAACTGGAGTTACAGGCATTGTGAACTGCCAGCATGGGTCCTGAAACTGAATTCAGTTCGTTAGGAAGAGCAGCAAGCACTCTTAACCACTGAGGCAGTCTCACACTTTGGTTTTCTATTTCTTCATCTGGAAGCTAAGTGCGTGGTTGTTTAGTATACTTTATATTGGACACACAGCTCACACTCTGTTTGCCTTGCTTCTTAATAGTAGCAAAGTAATTTAATGCCTTTTTAAAAAATGTTTACGGGTGTTTGCCTCCATTCACATCTGTGCTATGGAAACCAGAAGAGGGCATAGGACACCTATATCTGGAGTTATTGGTGATTTTTGAGCTGTCTGTTGGTGCTGGGAATTGAACCTGGGTCCTCTGCAAAAGTAGCCAATACTCTTAACTGCTGAGTCGTCCCTTCTTCCCCTAGTAAAATAACCTTTTTTGTTTCATGTGCATTGGTGTTTTGCCTGAATGTATGTCTGTATGAGGCTGGAACAGAACTTAAATGAGATGCCATGTCAGTGCTGGAATTGGATCTGGGTCCTCTGAAAGAGCAGCCAGTACTCTTAACTGCTGGGCCGTCTCTCCAGCTCCTAGTAAAATAAATTTTAACCTGAGAAGTAAGAGACAAAAGCAAAGCCAGACTTTACTTGTGTCTCTGATTTGGCTCTAACAGGCAATGAGAAGCCTTGTCTTGTGTGAAGGTTGATTTTAAAAGATTGCAGATCTGCTGGTTCTGTTGCTCTCTAAGAAACACTTAGGCAAAATGTGTCAGAGTGGTGTGGCTTGGGCTCTAGCAACCATGTACATAGTGTACTCACAAATACCCAGTAAACCATTTATAAGTATATAGAAAGCCGTTGGTTAATACCAGAGAGCTGATTTCACTGTTACTGTCGTGTGTGTGTGTGTGTGTGTGTGTGTGTGTGTTAATCTTTTTAATGCTTGCTTTCATCACCTGCTGAGCATGGGTCCTGATAGTGGTCCATGAAAAGCCAGGTATTCAAAACAGTAGCTCTACTCTGAAAACTTCATTTGCTTCCCAGCCTGTTTCATTGTTGTGCCCTCCTTGGCTTGACTGATCCCAGGAAGCCCAGTGCAGGGGATGGGTTCCTCCACTGCTGCCCCAGTGGCTTGCTGGCTTGTGCAGCAACCTCAGTAATGTCTCCTCTTCTTGTGCTTTAGCTCAGGTTCAGATTGAAGGTGATTTCCTGGCATGTTCCTTCTCCATACTCGAAGAGCAGCCTATGGACATGCTTCTGGGACTGGACATGCTTAAACGACATCAGGTAATTAAGAGCTTTTGTATGTGTGTGTACATGCATGAGCACACATAAGTGCGTGGAGGCTAGAGGTTGACAGCAGATCTCCTTGGTCTGTTTCACTTTGTTTATTTTAGCTGGTGTCTCTCACTAAACCCAGAGCTCACCAATTTGACTAGACTGGTAAGACAACAGCTCCAGGGATCCCCCTGTGCCCACTCTCCAGTGCTGAGGTTATAGGTGTGTGATGTTGCACCACGGTTATGGGTTTTGTTGTGTAGCCCTGATAGGCCCAGAGCTCACTGTATAAGGAAACCTGCCTTGAACGTGCATGTTCTTGCACCTGCCTCTTGATCCTGGATCATAGGCATGTACCATCATACCTGAGCCATCTGCTTTTGCTATGTGTCTCTGGTATTTATATCAATTCTGCTAGTGGCATAGATTTACAAACCAAGAAACATGTTTTTCAAACATGGAAATGCCTTTGGTAGATTCTGTTGTATAGAGTTGAGATGACTGTCATTACAAATAGAGTCTGTCAGTTGGGTGTGGTAGTGCACGCCTTTGATCCTATCACTTAGATCAGATCCTAGCACCTAGAACAGAGAGGTAAGCCAAGTATCTGTGAGGCCTGAGCTGAATAGTGAGACCCTGTCTCAAAATAGCAGCACAGATCTCTACTTGTAGGACCTCTAGGGATAAGCTAAATCTTGTCTGTTTTGACATTATAATAGCAATTTTATTTATTATTTTAACCTTAAAATTTTTTTTAGACTTAGCTTTATCTTATGTGCTTTGTTCACAAGAATGTTTGCACCACATGCATGTGTGGTGCACTTAAAGAGGAGCTGGACAGATGGCTCAGTGGTTGAGAGCACTGCCTGCTCTTCCAAAGGTCCTGAGTTCAATTCCCAGCAAGCACGTGGTGGCTCACAACTAATCCGTAATGGGTTCTGGTGCCTTCTGGATTGCAGGCATACATGTGTAACATGAGGAGCGGGCTGCTTGTCCTTCCGGCTGCCTGGCTATCTTATACCCGAAATAATCACACAGAAATTGTATTACTTAAATCACTGCGTGGCCCATTATCTCTAGCCTCTTATTGGCTAACTCTTACATCTTGATTTAACCCATTTCTAATAATCTGTATATCACCTCGAGGTAGTGACTTACCGGGAAAGATTTAGCATGTCTGACCTGGTGCCTCCATGGCGGCTCTCTGACTCTGCTTCCTTCCTCCCAGAATTCAGTTCTGTCTTCTCCGCCTATCTAAGTTCCGCCCTATCAGGCCAAGCAGTTTCTTACAACACATAAACAGAAGGACCTCCTAAACCATACATGCAGGCAAAACACTGTATACTTAATAAATAAATAAAAATTTTTTAAAGAAGTAGGAAGAGAGCATTGGATCCCCTGGAAGTACAGTTGAGATGCTTAGGAGCCACCGTTTGGGTACTGGAAGCAGAAGGTCCTCTGCGGGAACAGCTGCTCCTTTGCCTTTCTTCCTCACATTGAAATAGATTTTTTTTTTTCCCCCTCGCATGATGGTATCTGGTTATGGTTTCCCCTCCCTCTATTCCTCCCAGTTCCTCCCATCCAGTTCCACCTTTCTATCTCATTAGCAAACAAACAGGCTTCTGTGATATGGTATGAGAAAATAAAACACACAGAATTGGACAAAGCAATCAGAAGGAAAAGAGCCCAAGAGAAGGCATAAGAAACAGACTTCCGTGTTCCCACTCAGGAATCCAATAAAAACAGTACAGTGGAAGCCAGAATGTATGCACAGAGGACCTGTACATACCTATGTGGGCCCTGTGCGTGCTGCCTCCTCTGGAGTTCACATGAGCTTGGATTATGGTGATTTGGAGCACCTTGTTTTCTTGACGTCATCATCCTCTGTCTTCTCTTTTTCGGGGGTTTCCCTGCTCCCTAAGGGGAGGGATGGAGACATCTCATTAGAGGGCTGTGTACAGGTACTCCTAACCACTGAGCTCTCTCTCCAGCCTCAGCAGGTTTTTGTTTTGTTTTGTTTTGTTTTGTTTTTCGAGACAGGGTTTCTCTGTAGCTTTGGAGGCTGTCTTGGAAGGAGTTTTTGTAGACCAGGCTGGCCTCGATCCACCTACCTCTGCCTCCTGAATGCTGGGATTAAAGGCATGCGCCACCACCACCCGGCATCAGCAGTTTTATTAAGTTGTATAATTTTAAGATTCTGATTAGAAATCAAGAGGGTTTTATTTTTTTTAATGATTTTCTGCAGGTGTTTAGTACATACTTCTCTTGGGTGTTAATTAAACAGTAGACAGAACATTGAGATTAAAAGAGTAGAGAATGGAAATGCTTTGTTCATACAGGGAGAATTATCTGACAACACGTTAATTTGTCATGATGCTTTATTCCTCGTCTAAAGCCTAAGATCCGCCATGCTCCTTGCAGAACATTGGTAGTGTCTGCTGGGTAACAGACACCACAGTAGTTCATGTTGTTTGTTTTGCTAAGCAAATGCTGTACCACTGAGTATAGCCTGAATCCCACTGTGGGTTTTTAAATAAAGTCAGTGCATTCACACCACTGTATTTTTAATATTCCACCTGAGAACGTAAGTCAGCAAGAGAGCACTTGCGTAGTGTATGAAAGACTCTCTAGTTCCAGGCCCCCTAAAATCAAAAAGCCCTAAAAAATAATGTATATTATATTAATTTAGCATTTTAGATAGGAGCAGTGAATATGTTTGGATAGATGAAAGCTGGGTTGTTTATTTGTCAGTTTTTTGTTATCTTTTAGCGTACACGGGTATTTTCTAACTTTACAGACATAAATCAAACATGGGCAACTGTCCAATTTTAAGTAGAAATAAAAACCACACAGGGAGCCAGGCGGTGGTGGCACATACTTTTAATCCCAGCATTTGGGAGACAGAGGCAGATGAATCTGTGAGTTTGAGGCCACCCTGGTCTACAGAGTGAGTTCTAGGCTCCAAAGCTACACAGAGAAAACCTGTCTTGGGAGGGCAGGGGGAAAGAAGGCCACACAGAAAAGGATAAAGTGAAGTGGCTGTAGTGGGTATTACATCTATAATCCTACCACTGCTCTCAGGCAGATGGATCAAGATGTCAAGGAAGGTCCAGATTATAGATGCTTTCTCAAAAAATAAAAAACAAAGGACAGGGAGATGACTTGGTTATAACGCTAGCTGCAGTGGCTGTGCAAGCTTGTTGACCCAGGCTTGATCCCCAGAGCCCTTGATGGGTGTGGTGGCATCTGTAGTCTCAGTGCTCCTACCCCAAGATAGGACATGGAGGCAGACCTGCCTAGAAGCTCACGAGCTTGCTGGCCTGAAGTATGCAATGCAGCAACAGAAACAGGAGACCAAATAGAGACAAGGACTAGGAGTTGGAGGCCAGCCTCCACTACATGCTGGGTTCAAGGGCCTATTTAAATCAGTAACGATCTAGGGAGATGTAGAGGCACACAGGCAGGAAGGTGAGTTGGAGGCTGTTAGACTACAGCATGAATCGAGGTCATTCTGGATTACATAATAAGACTTTGTCTCCCAAACCAGCTGTAAAACATTGCTGCTTTCAGGTATATAGTAAGGGTGTCTTTGTGTTTCTGTTTAAGCCTTCTCTTTTCCTGATCGTGTTCTTCATTGGTTGAATGTGGGGCTAAGACTTGATTCATTTACTGCTTTTCTTTGCTTTTCTTCTTCCAAAGTGTTCGATTGACTTGAAGAAAAACGTACTGGTAATTGGCACCACAGGCTCACAGACCACCTTCCTTCCTGAGGGGGAACTCCCAGAGTGTGCCCGCTTAGCATATGGAACTGGGCGAGAGGACATACGGCCAGAGGAGATTGCAGACCAAGAATTAGCAGAAGCCATTCAAAAATCAGCTGAGGATGCAGGTATTGGACTGACCATCTGAATAGTGCTGTTGTTAGTGGGGTGAAGGCCTTCCTAGGAATGAGCCTCGTTATTGAGCAGTAGTTGTGTTCTCTGTCTTCTTACTCCTCTTTCCATCTCTTAATACTGTGGAGAGAAGAAAGCTCCTGGGGCTGGAAAGTAGAGCACTGGCCCAGCGCATGTGAAGCCCTGGGCTCAGTCCCCAGTACCACATAAAGTGGATGAGGTGGTACACACCTGGAATTCTAGCACTCAGGAGGTCAAGGTGGGATAGTCGGTGCAAGGCTAGCTTGGCTATCTGAGACCCTGTCTCACCAAGGAGGAGAGAGGGTGGACAGGCTTTTCATTGCTATAGCTCAGCAGGTAAAGACACTCGCCACGGAAAGCTACAAACCAGAGCCCATGTAAAGGTTGAAGGAAAGCATTGACTCCACAGTTCTGCTCTGACCTGTGCATGCCCACCCATAGGTGCCATCATAATAAAAGGACTCCTATTTCAACAGATCAAGAAAAAAGAACCTAGGTAGCTGGGTGTGATGGCACACACCTTTTATCCTTGTACTCCCGGAAACAGAGGCAGGTGGATCTCTGTGAGTTGGAGGCCATCCTGGTCTACAGAGCAAGTTCCAGGATAGCTCTGACTGTTGCACAGAGAAACCTATCTTGGAAAACCGAAAAGAGAAAAAAGAATTTAGGTATAATAGCATATACCTGTAATAGTAGCAGTCCAAGACTGAGGCAGAAGAGTCAAAAGTTCAGGTCAAAACAACAACAACTAGAGAAGCCTTAATCCCAGCCCAGCACTCAGGAAGCAAAGCTGATCTCTACCTCTGTGAGTTCAGGCCAAGTTGGAACCAGGATCCAGTGCCGTGTTCGAGGTTAGGTCATTCTTTGCTTGCATGCTTCTAAAGCATCCTGTTTTGTTCATAAAGAAAGTTCTACAGTAAGCATACATTTTCAGGATCAGCAGTATCCCTGGAAATGCATCTCATTTTCTCAGCCCATTTATTGGTTTGAAGGAAGGCATTATCACTATGACTAAACAGTGAAGATGTTTACCAAAAGTGCTGCCTCCAAAGAAGAACCAGTGACGAGTGTAATCTTACTTTAATCAGTTGTAGTACTTATGCTGTCTGAGGTCTCAGAGTAAGGCCACATAGCAGTGCTTTGAAACCAGGCGCCCCTAACGCCTTCTGAATGTGAAGAAAGATCAGTCTTCTGAGGAAAATGGATCAAGACAACTTCCCTGAAATTCCCCATCTATTAACAGTACAGTGACTCATGTGCATTTTCCAGAAACTGAAAAGATTTAACTTTTAAGTGAATTGTCTTGATGTCTTAGGTTAGGATTGTTTATCAATGTGACCATCTCACACCTCGCTCTTTCTGGTAGAGTGCGTGAGAATTATGACCTCATGGAATAACTTTCTGCTCAAGTCAGAGATAATGTTTGAAAATCTTTGTTATGTAGACGGGCAGTGTTGGCACATGCCTATAATCCCAGCACTCGGGAGGCAGAGATAGGTGGATCTCTGAGTTCGAGGCCAGCCTGGTCTACAAGAGCTAGTTCCAAGACAGGCTCTAAAGGTACACAGAGAAACCTTGTCTCGACAAACCAAAAGTGAGTTACCAGCAATCATTTTACTCTTCCTAGAGGGTCAGTGCCAGTGAGCTCATCCACCTCCTTAGCCTATGGACGGCAATTTGGCAATTTTGACGAGCTGCTGACATTTTAAGATAGTGTTTCCCCATACAGCCATGTGCCGTAATTAGAGAAACACTAACTGATGGCAGCAGTGTTTCTAACCCAGTCAGTAACATTTAGCCTTCTGAAGTGTGCATCATATTCAGGGTACTAAAGTAGTGCCACCTTTTCAGGATCAGCAAAGAAAAACACAGACCAGTTTTAGAAACCACCAATCCATGGAACCCTTGCTACTAACACACGTGACCTTTGTGGATTTTTGTAGTGTTCTAATGGTGTGATTCTGCAAAGTTAGACTTGATTTATTAGGAGAATCAACTGCTTGGGATCATTAAAATCATGATTCTTTACATGATATGTGGAAGTATTTCCAGAAAGTTATTTATTTACAGAAAATTATCAGGGTATCTTTACTCTCTGTATCTATCTATAGACTTTAGGAACTGTCTAGCATGTCTGTATGCTGGTTAACTGTGAAGAAGGCAGCATCAGGGACTTAGCCACTCTTGGTTTGTCTTCAGAAAATGAATGAGAACCAGGTGTGCTGGCACCTGCCTATAAGCCCCATGCTTGGGATGTCAAATTCTAGGCCAGTCTGGGCTACATGGCCATACCTTGTCTCAAAACTCAAAAATAGAACTGTTGAGCGGTTGGAACGCTTCTACCCTTCCCACTGACCCTTCCAGGTGGCCGTCAAGCAGCTCTTTTGATGGATCAACTTTGCCGTAGCGCATTTGCCTCCTACATCTGTGCAGAGCTGTGAAATAATTTCTTTCCAAGTACAGTTAAAAATCTGTTGATGCAGAAACCTTGTTGGTTGTATTTGGAGAGAATTGAAGCAACCAGCAAGTCTTTGGGATGCCCAAGCTGTGGAAACATCCCTCAACATGGACTCCTCGCTCCTCATTTTAAGGATGGGAAGGATTGAAGACTACAGCCCTGCATGCTGTGTGGTTCTGCGTTCTTAACCCACGTTTGCTTGTCTGTTTCCTAATCCAAACAGAGCGTCAGAAGCCATGATGCATGTAGTGTGTGTGTGCTGCAGCTGGAGTGGGCCCCAGACCAGGTATTTATAGACGCCACGTTACCTTTCATCCAGTTGTCCTGTGCTCTGAACAGTCTCTGTCTGGAACCATTTTGGAAACTCAAGACTTGCCATCTCTGTTTCTCCCTGTTCAATCTGGTTACAACTAGCCTGTATATACACTTTTATGTGTGTTGGCATATGTACATGTAGGCATAAATTCTTGTTTAGAACATTACAGTCCAGGGGAGTCTTAGTGAAGGTACTATGTACCCAGCACCTCTGACAGTTGAGGACACTGAGTCAAGACTGTCGGCATTACAGCAGTTTGTTGCAGGTGGTTTGTTAGATGTCTCAAGCCATTTTGCTTTGAAAAGCTGGAAGTTCTTGTACATTGGAAGTTTATAGAAGGACAGCGTTTTCATCTTATTGAGCAGAAATGGAAACTTGAGCTGGATGACTTACCCAGAATCATAGTAATGGGTGGGCTGGGCGTGGTAGTGCCTCCAGCCATTCCCTTCTTGGGAAGTTGAGACAAGAGGATCCAAGGCTTAAGACCAAGAAGCCCGAACTGGGTAGTGAACTTACTTGGGAGGAAAATTGTTAGCAGAACTTTGGTTTTTTTTTTTCCCCAAATAGTAAGAACTGATACTTGGCCTCTTCTTCTGTCTTTGGAAGGCAACTGCTGCCACTTCTTGTGTTGTCAGCAGGACTGTGTCCTTCTGAGTACGTTCACTGATTTTATCTGAAATAGCTTTAATAATAACAAGGGTTTGGAGGCTGGTTGTAATTGGACTCATAGCATTTCATTCTAATTCTCTGTCTCTCTCTTTCTCTCTCTCCTTCTTTTCCTCCTCACTCTCATTTTAAGGACATTAGGCATGGTTAATGTCCGTTAGCCGCTTTTTCTAATTCTCCTATTGCACTAGCTATTTCGGTTTCAAAAGGATGATATACATGCTGCCCTTATAGTGCCAGGCAGTGCTGTCACGCGCCTTTAACCCCAGCACTCGGGGGGCAGAGGCAGGCTGATCTCTGTGAGTTCGAGGTCCTGGTCTACATAGTAAGCTCCAGGACAAGGGACTACATAAGAAATCCTGTCTTGGGCCTGAGAGATGGCTCAGAGGTTAAGAGCACGGGCTGCCTTTCCAGAGGTCCTGAGTTCATTTCCCGGCAACCACGTGGTGACTCACAACCGTCTGTTTAGTGGGATCTGATGCCCTCTTCTGACATGAAGGCTTACGTGAAGAGCGATAAGTCTTCTTAAGAGTACATAAATAAAAAGAAAAAAAGAAAAAGAAATCCTGTCTCAACCCAGAAAAGAGATAGTGTGTCTGGCCTTGGAATCCAAACTGCTCTCTGCAGGACATCAGGAGTGGAAACTCAGCAGTGAGGGTGCTGTGCAGCTCAAAGCATCTGATTGAGTTTAACCAGAAGCCGTTGTTTCCAACCTTGGTAGCAGCCTGTGCCTTTTAATTCAAGACATTATGGGTGTTTGAAGGCCAGTTTTTAATGGTCCAGAAGGAGTTGGACCTATTGAATGGTATCATTGTAGCATCTGCACTGAGCTAGTGTTTGAGCCTGACATCATTTGAGGGATTGTTAAATTAGAGTGAATCTAAATTACTATTGCCTATTGAAAAACTATTGTTCTGTTCCTCGACCTTCCCTCCCCTGTATTCAGCAGAGAACTTCAATCTTGTTAGTAGTGTTTGGAAGCCAGGTGTGCTACTTAGTGTGTGTTGTAATGCCTACTTAGTCTGAAGCAGGAGGGATGCTTGCTGCAAGTCAGACCATACAGAACTGCATTATAGGCCTAGAGATAGAGTTGAGTGAGAATAGTGCCTCCCTGGCATACATAAAGCACCACATAAACTGGGAACAGTGATGCACACCTGTAATTCCAGTACCGGGAGGATCAGACTTCTACATCAAGCCAGAGGCCAGCCTGGGAGACAGGAAATCTAGCCTCAAGAATGAATGAATAAATAATTATAGTGTTTAATCAGATGAATAAAATTTTGTCTGCTTCATCTTTGGTTTTTTTGTTTTGTTTTGTTGTTTTTTGTTTGTTTGTTTGCTATGATGTTCTAGAAGCTTGGCTAGAAATGAAATCCATTATTTACTTCTTTATTTTCTAGGGACCTCTAGGCATGTAAACCCCATCTCTCTCAGTTGCCCTGCTCTGTCCCTAGCATACTTGCTTTTGGATTTCTTCTGTGTAACTTAGGCTCACGCTTGAAGCATAAGGAAGTGTGCTGGAGCCAGTGTGGGTAGCCCATGCTGTAATTCCAGCCCCCAGGAGGCTGACATGTGAGGATCACTGATAGTTCAAGGCTCATCTGTGCTTCCCCCCTTTTAAATATGAAGAGGGAAAAGAACTCGGTGAGAATCCAAAATTCACCAGAAATAAATAAGCATGACTGCTTGACATGATGGGACACTCCAGCACCCAGCATTCCAGTGTCAGGCCAGCTCAGACTATGTAGTGAGACCCTGCTTGCAATAAATACACGCTTAGGCAAGCATCTATAAGTGTGAACACTGACACAGCCATTATGAAGTACATGCTAACAGCCCTTCATGTATGGAATTTAGTAATTTTATTACTAAATTTAGTAATGTTTGTTACTCACTTTAGGTTCAGTGATGCTAACTCATCACAGAAAGATTTGTATTTTTTAAGCCTCATATTTGCAAGACAGACCTAAATTAAAAGACCTGCTTTTATTCTATTGAGATTTCATCCTTTGATAATTTAGTGGTCTAACTTTTTCTTTTTCTTTACTTTTTTAAAAAAAAAAAAACAGAGAAAAGCAGTAAAGAATCTACCTCACTGGGAATGTCATCGTTGCTGACTTCAGATGGATTCAACCATCCAGCCCCTTCTTCAGGGCAGAGTCCTGAGGTTGGTAGCCCCACGAGTCTTGCTCGCTCTGTCTCTGCTTCAGTTTGCGCCATCAAGCCCAGTGACCCCAATAGCATTGATCCTGTAGCTATGGAGGCTGTGAAGGCTTCAGCTGAATTCCAGACAAACTCTCCGAAAACAGATCCTCCTCCTCTGCAGAACCTTCCTGATCTCGCTTCCCCAGCAGACCAGAATCCAACTATGCCTTTGCATAATTCATCCGAAGAAGCATTTGTTGCAGATAATCCAGAGAAGTTTGCTGTCGGGGGAACCCAGGGCCTCAGAGTTTATCTCCACACCAGACAGGACACTAGTTTATCTCTCACAACTACTGGGGTGCATGAGCCTCAGGTATTTGTGGAAGAAAAGAGTTGGCATCCAGAAAATCAGAACCCAGGTCAAGTGAATGGCCCTCAGCAGCCTAGAGAACCACACAGAGGGAGCGGTCAGCAGAGTGCCCCACATGACCAACAATGTCCTTGTGACACAAAAGACCTTGAACTTCATGAAGAAAATCAACAGGACCAAGAAAACATTGTCAGTTTAGAAGCTGTGATGAAAGGAGATGAAGTACAGGCAAATGCTCATCTTCTAGATACAGGGCACTATAGCTGCTCATGCCCAGAAACCCTGATGGACGTGGATACAATTGAACAGTCTCTGACTGTCGTGTGCAGCTCCGTGAGCAGGCAGGATGCCAGCATCAGGAGCCCTGGTGCACCGCATCTTACTTCAGATAATCCCGCGATGGAAATGGAAGCAGTACACTGCAGCCCCTCACCTGAAAGCATGGAACATTCCATCTCGACTTGGGGTTTGCAGCCCCCAGAAGATAATGTTGAAGTGTCTGCAATGGATAGCAAAGATAGCAGCGCTTCCTCTTCCCCTCTAAGTGACCACGGTCAGCCCTCTGTGGAGGCAGCCGAAGAATTTTGTTCATCTGTCACAGTGGCCTTGAAAGAACTGCATCATCTTTTGGTCATTAGCTGTAAGCCAGCTTCGGAAAATGCACCTGAAGATGCTACCTGTCGGTCAGAGATGCAAGCTGAAAGCCAAACAGGTACTTTGGACCTTTCCAGAAGGAGGGCCCAGAGTGAGAATCCGACCCCTAGTGACCAGTATCCCCAAGTCTCCTGTCACCAGGCCACCTCTGAATCAGAGAAGACAGAAATCATAGGCAGCACATCTTGTCTTGGGATAGAACATGGAGCGTACACTAGCTTCAGGGGTCTGGGTGATGGCTTGTCAACTGGCAAAGATGGTGTCCCCAGACCAAGGGAGTCAGTCAGGAAGAGCTGTTCTGTCGCCATAACCTCAGCTAAACCATCTGATCGGCCACATTGCACCTCAGGTGTGGAAATTTCACCCACATTTGCAGCAGGTGAGGAGGGTACGCACAGTCAACCTTCCGAGCACGTGCAGAATCCAGGCACAGACGGGCCGGAGACCAACAGTGTTTGCCCTGGAGCTTCGCCGCCCTCCCATGGATTGGACCCACCTGTCAGTCAGCCCTTGTCTTCTCCCCCCACTCTTCCACCCTTCATCTTTCCCACTGCTGATGTTAACCGGATTCTTGGTGCAGGCTTCACTCTGCAGGAAGCCCTTGGGGCTTTGCATCGAGTTGGTGGGAATGCAGACCTCGCACTTCTTGTTTTGCTAGCAAAGAACATTGTAGTCCCTACGTAATTGTGGGAAAGCGGCTAGACCGTACCCCATTCCCTCTGTGAAAGCTCTCCACACAGACACACTCACCACATACATACACAGTATATGTAGAAACCAACCTGCAAGCAAAATGTTGAGCCAGATTTTTTTTTCCCGGCCAAAGTAATTTATGATCTTTTGTCTGATGAATTTGTCTATTTTACTTGTTAAAATTTGGGCCTTTTAAAATGTATTGGCAGTATGTGCATACAAAAGCTTTTTATTCTCATTAAGATGATGTATTCTGTAATAAAACAGATGGTTTTGTGTATAGCATACCATTTTAGACGAGTGAATGCTTTGAAAGCAGGAGCCACAAGGACCCTGCCACCCGTGCAGCTAGGAACAGGCCAGCCGCCGGCTGTGGCTCTGGCTGTGCTGTGTGCAGAATGTGGCTTGTAACAGGAATCTGGAGAAGAATTCAATAACTCCTGGAGTTGTATGTTTTGGTTTGTGTGCTCAGGGTTGACATTTAAATAGGGTGAGCGGGAGGGCTTAAAACTTGGGCTGTCTTGTGCTTCATAGGCTGCTGCATGGATTGATTGCCAGATACCTTTATGACGGTGGGTGGGGCGTGGGGGGTTCACATTAGAATGAGACATGGTGCTACTTGTATTTAAAAAGGGAAGGGGAAAAAAACTGATCATAATTCCATTTGCAAATGTCAAGGACTGTGAGTAGGAGATAATAATGACTTAGACAAAACACTGGAATATACTAGAGATAGGACTCTGGGCATCTCATTGACATCCCAGCCCTCAGTGCTCAGCCCCCAGGAGCCCTAGCTTCTGAAACACACCTGCTGGGAAGGTCTTCCCATGCTCACTCTGAACTGAGCGAGACTGAGCTAGGAGAACCTTTGTCCCTGGTCCTCTCGGTGCTTAGACTGGTCAGTCTGTGAGTGTCCTTCATGGCAGTGGGTACAACCGAAGTTCTGACGACAGTGGCCTTGGTACAGTTTCCATCCCTTTCTTTCCTCAGGAGTTTCTTTTCAAAGCAGGATCCATGTTTGTGTTCACCACATTGAGTTAGAGTGGGGCGGAATGCGGAGATACGTTTGCCGTGGCCTTTTTAATGTAAGTCTTCGCTTTGTAAGTCGTCCTGTGGCACCCACTGTGCAATAATCCCTCTGGACAGGCTTGAAAGCATCCTTTCCTAGAACATAAACCGTTGTCTTAGTTGTTTGGCAGGAATCTGGAATCTTGTTTTTCTCGAAAAGGATCTTGAGAACAGTTCCTGGTGAGAGTTTGCCGAAGTGAAGGTGTTGAAATCGGTTTCTGGACTTAGCACTAGCTGATTTGTGTCTAAAGTCCACCTCTCTCTCCTCTCCCTCTCAAACTTGTTCTTTCCATCAGAACTGAAGTCATTGAGCACAGGCGGGTTCACATCTCAGGAATCAGTGAAACTTTAGGAGCACTTACAGGGATCTGTTCTCTGGTCCATTTCTTCTTTTTGCCACGCTGCTTGTGTGCCGAGACTCACTTCAGCGACATGATGGCAGGTCACACACAGTATCACGACCCTTTCTGGAGTTTGGAAGTGGTTGCTGGGTGGCCTTGTGGTTTCTCTTCTCTGTTAGGCACTCAGAACATCAGGCTAGCCGAGAAGTTCTTTGTTTCAGACAAGCACAGCCTGTCCACCCTTTGCTTGTCGCACCAAAGTTGTGTGTGTGACACACTGGGAAGCTACCAAAGTTGTGTGTGTGACACACTGGGAACCTGCTCCCAGGAGTCTCTTACCTGATACAGAGTTGTGGCTAAAAGATCAAGTAGTAGCACACTGAGGCCTGGTGTTTGCTTTGGGGGGTGTGGGGTATATTTTAGGGTTATTAATCTTTGGGGCCACAGGGTGGGGTATGTAGAGAAGGTACTGATGAAAGACTGCCACTGCCGCCCCCACACATCCCAGAAAGCCTTCTGAACAGAGGAACTACCGTGCAAGACCAGTGGTTTGGCCACTGACTTTTTAAAATGGATGTTTGGGAGAGAGCCCTAGGCGGTATCAAATACCAGTCTGGAGAAGATGTCACTACAATAGCTTTTAATGAATCTACATGTATGTTCATTTTTAGAAGCAAACTGATAGACCAGATAGTCCTTTGGACTCCTTGGACTGAGCTTAGCTCACTTGCCAAATACTTTGTTCCTTTAGGTCATTACTTTGTTTTCAGCATAGTTACTTTTGAGTTTTAAACTCTTATCAAAAATAAATAAAAGATCTGGCATGCTGGCATATACCTTTAACCCCAGGAGGCAGGCAGATCTCTGCTAGTTCAAGGCCACCCAGAGCTACATTAGTGAAATGTCTAAAAACAGAAAGGTGGGGGGGGTCTTCTATCTGACATTAGTGAAAAGTAAAGTTAGGAATTGACTGACTTAAATTGAGCAGTCTTAAGAACAGGACATGAAAGGATGTGACCCTAGTGGACCTTCATTGTCAGATTTCACTTAGTAGCTGACTACCAAGGGTTAGATCCATCGTCGTGCATCCTGGTGCCCAGCATGTCGGACTACAGCCATAACCACAAGGGGCAACTCGCTTACCAAACATTGTCGGCGCTTACCTCCAGTGCTGATCTCCGTTTGTGCACCAAAGAGGATTTTCTTGTCAGGCTTGTGCTGAAGCTGGTGTGCAGAGGGGGCTTGGTAGCCAGACAGCACAACCGCAGCTGGGGCTCTGGCCCTCTGGATGTGCTAGTTCAGGCCTTCATCCCACAGTTTGGGCTCTAGGTTGGTAGGTGAAGAGGAGTCCAATTGTTTGGTACGGAAGCTTGAGTCAGTGGTGAAGATCCCAGCCCCTCTGACTGCAGTGTCTACCCAAAGCTTTTCTCTGGCAAGAGGAATGGGGCTGGGCCTGGTGTCCCTGATTTCGTAACCAGCCTGTGTAGCGTCTGCCTGTTCGTCCCTCTCTACAGCTTTCTGTCTTTAGCGAAAGCCATAAGAATTTGTTTCAACTTTTCAGCTGATGTCTATAAATAAATATGTAAACTATCATATAGAAGGTGATTGACAAATGTTTTGCATAGGTCGAAAAGCTTCTGTGTCCACAGATGCCTGCACATCTGGCGGCTTTTCTTCCTACTGTGTATATAGTAAACTGCCTTGTGAATAGCTCTGCAGGAGAGTCAAGGCAAAGCTCCTTTCCTTGTTGTATGTTTTTGTTGTTGTTCTTTTGTTTTTGTTTTTGTTTTTTTGAGATAGGATCTTGCCATAGCCCAGGCTGGCCTCAAACTCACGGCAGTTCTTCTGCCCCAGCCTCTAGAATGCTGGGATTATAGGCTCATGCCACCGTGCCCAGTTCACTCAATGCATTCCGATTGCTACCTGTGATGAGTGTGAGCGATGTGGCTGAACTGGTTGGCTTATCACTAGCAGTACTGCATGGCTTACTGGGAGAACTCCTGCATAGCATGTGAGGTCGAGGGTTTAATCCTTACTACCAAAATAGAAAAATAAAGGCCGATCTTGGTGATGCAGGAGCCTGTGGCTGACAGAGGTTACCATGTACTTCCCTCCTGGAGAATGAAGGCGTCTCATCTCAGTAGTTAATGTAAGATAGCGTTTTGTGTTTCCTGGGAATGAGTTCCTCTTGACAGCAGAAAGTCAACTCAGCAGTCCCTGAGGGCTGGCACTGAATTCCTGTGCGTGCTTGCCTGATCCCCTGAATGTTGGCAGAGCCGCAGGAGGGAATTCGGGGTGAGCCTTGGATGCACTTGCTTTTCTTTTGTGCCTTAATTGTTTTTGACTAGCAGAAGCATCACATCTTGGGAGTATCAGGGAAAAGTCAGAGGGCAGCTCTCCGGGAGAGGGCTGGCCACGGGGTGTGGTCCCTGGCTCGCTGCCACTTCATCAAACATTAGGTCTCCCCAGATAGGAGTTTCTGCATCCTGTATACCAAAAGATGGTTTCTCGGCGTTTCGTAGGTTTTGTGTTATGCATTTTGTGCTTTTAAGAGAAATCAAATCTTACATTCTAGATGAGAAATTAGTTCCTCCTATCAGGCTGTGCAGTATGGGCAAGAGCCCATTGATTTTCCATCAAACATTGAGTAGACCTGAAGCCTGGGAGCTCAGCAGCACCTGACCCAGACTGGAGCCTGGCCTTAGAAGCCTTCAGTCTAGGAGAGACACGAGGCAAGGTTTAACCAAGATCTGTTTTTACCTATTGGCATGCTTTTGTTTTTGAGAAGAGATTTAACGTAGCACAGGCTGACCTTGAACTAGTAATCCTCAAGCAGATGGGATTATGAGGTTTTAGGCACATTTTATAGTATCTGGGTAGCCTGCTTTCATTTTTGAATATACTTGGTTGTAGTTTAGAACCAACTGGGAAAAAAATCAAGGCCACAATGGAATCAGATGCTGTAAACCTAGAGGTATATTTTAAAATGTTTAGTTTAGTTTAGTTTAGTTTAAACAATGAGGGGCTGGATGTGGTGACACACACCTTTAGCTGTAAATGCAAAGCCAGTCAGGGCTACAGGGAGAAACTGTCTCAAAATGAGTAAAAATAAAAAATGAGTGGGGGAATGTAGCCCATTGATGATGGGTAGGGCGCTTGCCTAACTGCAGGAGCCTCAGTTCAGCCTGGACACTGCATGACCTGGGTGCGGCATGTGCAGGTAACCCCAGCCCTGGAGAAGTAGAGACAAGAGGATCAGAAGTTCAAGGTCATTCTTGGCTACATCTTGAGTTTCAAGGCCAGCTTTGGTTACATGAAACCTTGGTGGGAAAGTTTTGGTAGAACACTTGCCTGGCATGTACAAGGCCCTGGGTGTGACCCTCCAGCACTGCAAAGAAAAAATAGTTTTAACTGAAAATGTAATAGAAATAACTGAAAAGATGCTGAGGAATCAATGTGTAATGCTGTTGACCAGAAAGCAGGCCTGAGAGGGATCCAGGGAAATGGAACCAGTTGCCTTTCCTTCCCTGAGGATGGGTGCCACACTGATGAGGGTGAGCGCAGACCGTCTGGGAGAGCAGAGCTCAGCAGAGGCCTCTGTGGTGCACTGTTTAAGGCGGCTGAGTGCAGTGTGGAGCTGGAAACGCAGAGCAGAAAGAGTAGTCGACGACGGGTGGGGTGGCAGGCAGCGCTGCTTTGCAGAACTCTGCGTGCTCTGCAAGACATTCTCCAACCTGCCGTCTGAGATAGCCCAGCGTGTGCATTCCTGAAGCGTGGAAGGAGAGTAGAGTGTTAGTGATTGGTCGGAAATACACTCAGAAGTAAACCAGGAGTAAAGAGTGGGACACTGGTGAGGGGCTGTGTAAAGTGTGGTGGGGGGCTACTAAGTTTTAGGATACTATCTAGGGAAATCTACCAAGAAAATAGCTCAAGAACATAGGAGTTTCTTTACCTGCAAAGTTTGAACCACAGATCAGGAGTCAGTATGGAATGCAAGATCAGATTGCTTCTTACAGAGCCGTGCTAAGTAAGCATCCTAAGCCAGTTGAGTGGCTAATTTGGGTAAGGGGCATTTTCCCTGGGCCTGTTCAGGTGATGGGCAGTGATTGTACTTAGAATTTGGTAGTCCACAACCTGCAGACTTAAATAAATGTCGGTGATTTGCAGAGTAGATCTGTGTTCCTACGTGAGCCAGCCAGATCTGTGTTTCCAGGCTCCTTGACCGGACCGTTAAACCTGGGAGACACGTGGCTCACACCATTCCACCCCAGTGCTTGGGCTTTGTTTTTCCCTGCCCTGCACAGACACCAGGGGAATCCTTTGTGCTAATCGAATCTCCTCTGTCACACACCTTCTGAGAGACTAATTGTGTATTTGTATCCGGATCTCTTCATGGTGAGTTGGGTAGTGGCTTCAGCCCCTAGCAGAGGCTTGTTCGGTGGTTTCCTAACCCCACTTGGCAGGCCGTGACTGGGAAGCCCGCTTTGCGTCCTGCAGTAACCTGTGTGAGGCTGGTCGGCACAGCCTTCTTAAGTGGTCCAGTCGCACCCGCATGCTTTGAGACTAGGGAAAACAGAGTTTATGGGAGCTGTGCTCAGTCGTCCCAGAGTTGGTCTTGTGCCACTGGTTAGGACCTGTCTGCAGCTGAAGAACGCACTAGATGCCTTTGAGTTTGATTTTCTTTTCTTTTTTTTTTGGTCACACTTTGAAATGTAAGTCAGCCCTGAATAATCTAAACACTTTATTTTATTTTTCTTCTTTAATAGGAATTTTCTGAAGAAAACGTGATGTGTAAAACCTTTGATATTTAAGATAATAAAGTTTTTATCATAAGAAACTGTTTGATCTGTGTCTTTTCAATTGAGATGGCTCTTCGCTCCAGCCTTTCCTACTGACCTCTGGAATTACTTCTACCCAGGTACTGGGGCAATGTTTCTTGCACTATGTTCTGGAAACTGACTTAGGTTGCTGGGGATCTGCTCCCTGTGGATATAAGATGAGCATCTTGTGTGCAGTTGATTCAAAGTAATAGACAACAGTGGCAGTGGAGAGCAGTGGGTATCAACCTGTGGGTTCCAACCCTTTGGGACACCAAACAACCCTTCCATAGGGGTCACCTAAAGTCGTGGGAAAACATTTGTATTATGATTCATAACAGCAAAATTTACAGTTAAGAAATAACTGTACCAATGAAAATAATTTTATGTTTGGGGTCACCATGACTTGAACCGTGTTAAAGGGACGCAGCATTAGAAGGTTGAGAACTGGAGCCTGGCTGCTTGGTATAGTCCAGCTTTGGTGTTTAATAGACTGTTAGAGGGCTGGGGAGCGCACACCTTTAGTTAGTCCCAGCACTGGGAGGCAGAGGCAGGCGGATAGATCTCTGTTGAGTTTGAGGCCAGCCTGGTCTACAGAGGGAAGTTCCAAGACAGGCTCCAACCTGCTACACGAGTTACCTGTTACACAGTAACCCTGTTTCCACCCTCCCCTCCCCCTGCAAAAAAAAAAATCTTTAGAGATGGTTCAGCAGTTAAGAGCACTGACTGTTCTTAAAGAGATCCTGGGTTCAATTCCAGCATGTGCATGGCAGCTCACAACTGTCTGTAACTCCAGTTCCAGGGGATCTGATACCTTCACACCAATGTACATAAAATAAATTATTTTTAAAAGGGGGGAAGTTGGCTCCATTGGTAACGTACGTGCTTAACAAGCATGCTGACTTGAGTTCGTGTATCAGGGCCCACATGGGAAAAGATCAGGTGCCTCAGGCAGTGTGGCAGAGGCTGGCCAGTCCCCAGGGCTCACTGGTTTACCAGCCTAACCAGCTGAAAATCCAAAGATGAGGCAAATAGTGATCAAGGAAGTGTGGACCTCTGACCCATATGTGCGTGCTCATGCACACGTACCATTGACAAGAGGAGGCAGATTATAAGGATTGAACAGGTTACGACATGGAAGACGCTTAGCTGATAGCTGGCCAAAGAACACACTTAGGTATGAAGTCATTGGTTCAGAGATGAGATGCCCAAGTGGCTCTACGCAGAGGCTGGTGACTTCTTGCAGACATACATTCATTTCAGGTCACGTGACCACAGCGGACTTTTAAGAGGGGCTCGCCTTTAAGCCCAAGTGGATTTCTGTGAGTTCAAGGCCAGCCTGGTCTACAAAGCGAGTTCTAGAGTTCTAGGACAGCCAGGATTATAAGAAACCCTGTCTTGAGAAGCCAGAATGAATAAATAGTTGGAGAGGCGGCTCAGTGGTTAAGAGCACTGACAGCTCTTCCAGAGGACCTGGGTTCACTTCCTAGCACCCACATGGCAGCTCACAACTATAACTCCAGTTCCAGGGAATCATAACAATATACATAACTTAAATAATTTTGTTTTAAAAAGGGGGGCTATAAAGTATAATCTATGTGTTTGCTTTGTGTGTGGGGGTTAATTCTTTCGTTACATTTATTCTGTGGTGTGTGTGTGTGAATACTAGGGTATGGGTATATACCCCAAGCTGGCCTCAAACCTGATCCTGCCTCAGCCCCTTGATTGCTGAGGGTGAAAGGCACATGCCAATGTAGCTGGCTAGGACATTGAAAACCCTGTCTTAAAGGGCTGGCCTGGAACTCACAAATATCTGCCTACCTCTACTTCCTTAGTGCTGGGATTAAAGGTGTGCACCACCTCTGATTTCTTCATGGGTTTCTTAAATTGCCCCGTCCTTTACTTTGTTTGAGATAGTGGAAGTAAGGCAAGCTGGGGAGGAGTGGGGACAGAAACAGTCACCTGGCCACACAATAGAAATCCCAGCGACATAAAAAGTAGCTAGTGCCTTATACCGGTGGACTCTCCACACCTGTTTCCCCAGCATGGATTAAGACTGAAGGATTGTGCTAAATTCCAGGTCAGACAGCAGCAGAGTCTCTTGGGAAAGAGAGTGGAATTGGCTTAACACCATTTCTGTCGCAGAACATCAGTACTGTCACATCTGATCAGGGAGTAGCAGACTTAACTCCCAACTCTGCTCCCAAACTGAGACTCCCAATTGAGACCTGCTGTGTTTTGTTCTCTGCCATGGCGCTGTGTGAATCATATTCTGGCCTCACCATGGCTGTGTAGCTGAGAAGGACCTTGAGCTGGACTCCTGTGCTCCTACCTCCCGAGTGCTGGGATTGCCGGGCTGTGCCACCACTCCCGGCTGCAGAACTCTTTGGAGTTGAGTTTCTTGGTTGGTTGGTTGGTTGGTTGGTTGGTTGGTTGGTTGGTTGACTTTTTCCGAGACAGGGTTTCTCTGTGTCCTGGTTGTCCTGGGACTCGCTCTGTAGACCAGGCTGGCCTCAAACTCACAGAGATCTGTCTACCTCTGCCTCCCGAGTGCTGGGACTAAAGGCGTGCGCCACCACCACCCAGGAGTCTCGAAACCCTTCCATCTCTATTGTAAGGCTCCTAAGTGACGTGCTTACTTCACTCATTTTAAGCAGGTCTTCTATACCCTAGACTGGACAAGAAAGAGATGGAACTGAGAGTGAACCCCCTGCCTCCACTCCTTAGTGCTAGCATTACAGGTATACTGCACTGTACTTAGTTTATCAACTGTTTGAGTTCAAACCCAGCGCCTCCTGCCTACTGGACCAGTACTCTCGCTACCAACTGAGCTGCAATCCTAACCCCTGTGTTTTGGGTGTGTTTGTTTTTTTGTTTTTGTTGTTGTAAGCTGAGGCAGGAGAGTATTTTCCTAGCACTAAATACCCAGCGCTGCAGAGAACAGAACTTTATAAACTTATTGTGTCAGGGGAGTATGTGTCAGAGGGCCAGGACAGAAACTCATGTACTCGGGAAGAGAAGACAATGGGAGAAGAGTGGGACATTCATTTAAGTAAAAATGCAATGAAACAGTTTCGGTTTTTCTTGGTTTTTAAATTTTAGAAAACTTGTGCCTAGTGGTGATGGCACACACCTTTAATTCCAGCACTCTATAGGTACAGGCAGGCAGATCTCTGAGCTTGAGGCCAGCCTGTTCTACAGAGTGAGTTCCAGGATAACTAGGGCCTACAAAAAGAAACCCTGTCTTGGAAAACTAAAATGAATGAATGAATGAATAAAAATAAGTAAAGAAATAAATGCCAAAAATATGTGTTAAATGTGGGCTTGGTTGGTAGAGTGCCTATGGGCAAGCCCAGGCCCTGGGTTTGATCCCAGCACATCAAATGGGCGGGCTGGCACAGGCCTGCATTCCCAGCACTGGCAAGGTGGAGACTGGAGAGTCAGGGTTTCAAAGCCATCCTGTGCTACACAGCAAACCCGAGGCCAAACCCGGCGACGTGAGACTCGAAACAGAAAAAGGTGTCACAAGCAGAAGATAGAGAAATCGCTCAGAAGAGGGCGAGATTGCTCCCCGACACTGCTGCTTTGTTCGGAGGCATTCAGGTCCTCTTGGGATTAACCAGGTACCTGTCCTTATCTGTGAAGTCCCTCCCTCCTAGAACGTTCGAAGGACTCGCATTTTCCCCCAGTCCCAGAGCGGCAAGGATCGTCTTCCCTCCAGTACCTGCTCCTCTCACACCCTGAAGCCAGCTGGTGCCACCTCAAAGCACAGAAGTCTGGTCATGACCCAGATCTGTCGTACCAGCCTACGTGGCCCTCCTCCACGCCTCCAACAGCCCCTCCCTCAGAGTGCAGGCCAGGACCTTCTTAATGTCTCCAAGGCCCCTTTACTCCTCGGCTGTCCTACGCCAACTCCCTCGCTGGATCCAGCCTGAATAAGTCACACTTGCTCCTTCCTGCCCCTTCAGGCCTTAGCACCCCCGCCATTCTTCAGCCTGAAATGTACTTACCCCACATTCCGTTCCTTCCTTTTCCTCATTTCTTTCGGTTCTTGGTGCAAACGTCACCCTTGGCATTCTGTGGCTACTTTACCCAAATCCTAGCTGCCTCCTTTTCCTGCATGGCTTTCTTCTCCTTAGACTGACCCCTTCTCACGCAATCTAAGATTCTCTCCTGTATCTTGCTTAAGAGCTGTTTTGTTTTTTGAGACAAGGTTTCTCTGTGTAATCCTGACTGTCCTCGAGCTTCCCATATAGACGAGCACTCTAACCCACTGAGCTGCATGCCCAGCCCTGACTCTCGTGTTACAAAGGAGTAAATTCATGAGCACAGTTATACTGCCTCCGTTTCCTCATTTCAAAGGCTCTAGTGGGTTGTGTCATAGATGGAGTCGCAAAGCTAGTGACAGCTGTGCCTATCTGAAACCCACCCATATAAAATAAAATAAAGTAAAAATGATAAAAACTTTAAAGTTTTGGGCTGGAGAGATGGCTCAGAGGTTAAGAGAACTGACTGTTGTTCCGGAGGTCCTGAGTTCAATTCCTAGCAACCACATGATGACACACACCCATCTATAATGAGATCTGGTGCCCAGAACACTTTATACATATAAATAAATTTTAAAAAGTTTTAAAAAACACATCTCAGACACATACACCCACACACGTGCACATGTGCACACTCACGCTGTATGGCAAGAAGTTGCTTGAAGGCTTTGTAAGCTAGGAGGGTGGGTAATATTCCAGTTTCTACCCACCCATTTTACTGACTAGCTAAAACTCAAAGGAACTTGACATTTGATGTAAAGTCAAATGCCCTAGACAAAGCTGCCTTCCTTCAGTTTGTCCAGTCCACTTCTGAACACAGTGCAGAATGGGGGACCTAGAACAAGCCTGTCCCACTGTCCCCTCTCTGGTAGGTCTCAAACAGCTTTGCCAGCCTGCTGGCCGAGCAAGTGATTCCTCTAAACACAAACATAATTGTCTAGAGTCGGGAAGAAAGGGAGAAATTCATCTCCTTT